GGGAAAGTCCAAGGCAATTCCGAGGCATATGGCTCCAGCCATATCATTTGAAGTAAATTTTTTATTTAATTTTATTTTTTTCTTATCAGATACATTTTATTAACTCTGTATCCCAGCCTTGTCCTGCTCTCTCATTTCCTCCCAATCCCACCCTCCCTCCCTCATCTCCCCCGTGCCCCTTTCCAAGTCCACTGATAGGGGGGGACCTCCTCCCCATTCATCCAATCCTGTTTTATCAGATATCTTCAGGACTGGCTGCAAAGCCCTCCTCTGTGGCCTAACAGGACTGCTCTTCCCTTGGGGGGGTGGGGAGGTCAAAGAGCCAGTCATTGAGTTCCTGTTAGAAATAGTCCTTGTTCCCCACACTTTGGGAAACCAATTAGTTACTGAGCTACCATAGGCTACATCTGAGCGGAGGTTCTAGGTTATATCCATACATGGTCCTTGGTTGAATGTCAGTCTCTGAAAAGACCCTGTGCCCAGATATATTTGGTCCTTGTGGAGCGCCTATCCTTTCCCCATCATACTAACTCCCCTTCTTTCATATGATTCCCTGTAGTCTGCCAAAGGTTTGGTCATGAGTCTTTGTATCTGCTTTGAAAACATTGCCAGTTAGAGTCTTTCAGATGCACTCAGTAGACTCCTGTCATATGTTCAAAACACATCCCATCTGTCTTTCTAAACGAGGATTGATCATCTTACCCCATGTCCGCTCTCTTGTTTATCTTTTTTAGATATATAGATTTCACAACCTCATTAGCCATCAGGGAAATGTGAATCAAAACGACCCTGAGATTTCACCTTACACCCATCAGAATGGCCAAGATGAAAAACTCAAGTGACAACACATGCTGGAGAGGTTGTGGAGAAAGGGGAACCCTCCTCCACTGCTGGTGGGAATGTAAACTGGTACAACCACTCTGGAAATCTATCTGGTGTTTTCTAAGACAATTAGGAATAGTGCTTCCTCAAGAGCCAGCTATACTACTGCTAGGTATATACCCAAACTTTGCTCAAGTACACAAAAGGGATACTTGCTCAACCATGTTTATAGCAGCTTTATTTGTAATAGCCAGAACCTGGAAACAATCCAGATGTCCATCAACAGAGGAATGGGTACAGAAATTGTGATATTTTTACACAATGGAATACTACTCAGCAATCAAAAAGGAGGAAATCATGAAATTTGCAGGCAAATGGTGGGATCTAGAAAAGATCATTCTGAGTGAAATATCCCAGAAGGAGAAAGACAAACACGGTATATACTCACTTATATAGACCTATAAGATATGACAAACATAATGATGTAAAATCTTATCTTCTTCTCTCACCTTCAAGACTCACATGCATCCTCTCTGGAGTCTATCCTGTGCCACTTCTGTAACATTTTCTTTTTGAGTATTTTTCCAGTCCAGTAGAGGTTCAATGGGTTCCTAAGGAGGGGCGAAAAGAATGGGATAGCAAGAAGAGACGTGAAGAAAGAGAGCAAGGCTATAATCTGATCTCACTCTCGTTTATTTGAAAATTTTCACACAACTTTATAGGGAGAAGGCAGGAAGGGAAAATGTGTCAGCAATATAGTTTACAAAACATAACAGGGTGATTAATAATGATGCAGACCACAAGAATGTTTACTGAAAGATACTACAAGAACGTCAGCTAAGATATCTCAAAATGTCTAACCTGACAAACAGATGTTTCATAAGTTCCAGAAACATAAATATCTCACCCACGACCTTGGTGCAGCTGTCTGTAACTTTCCACTAGCTGGCCTTGACTCCCGGCAAGTATTTGTTTGTTTTTCTTTTTAAGATGCTCTCAAGCATAATGATGCTGGTGTATCCAATGTCTCCAAGCACAACAGGCTGTGAGGAGGCTTACGGAGAATACATGTGTGATATATGAGCCTCTGCCTGGCTTGATGATGAGAACATCATCATGATACTTTTGACCATGAAGTCAATGCTGATGAATCAATAGGACAGTACATCCAAAGAGAGGCAGATTTTCCTAGCTGTAAGAGAGGCCATGCTGGAGACTGACAGTGTGATACATCTAGCATAGCACAAAGTTGTTGAAAGAATGGGAAAACACCTAAGCTGGTGAGACCCATGGGATGATGAACTTTAAAAATCAAAATTAACAGCATGACTATAAAATTGGAGAAACTGAGTGTTTTGTTACATAACAATAGAAAAAAATGTTAAGGCTTTCCCAAATGGTGTTCTATTATGCCATTGTGACCCAGTGGCTTGTAATGAGTCCAGTTACAGTTTTTTATCCTTGACTGCTAGTGGCCTTTGGTCCCTCATCCCCTTCCCACTTTTCTAGAAAAGTTAATGAGCAAGAGCAAGGCAAGTTCTTATTTTGGTGCCAGCAAAATATGAGAATGCACCATCTTTAACCACCTAGAGCACGCTGAGTAGTGTCCTTTTCAAAGACATTGGGAACCTGTTTAAGAGGCCTGCCCTGCCCTTGCATAGCTCAAGAGTGCATGTAAGAAAATGGCTTACAGTAGTTTTGGACCACACAAGCACGTGTGTGTGTGTGTGTGTGTGTGTGTGTGTGTGTGTGTGTGAATGATGTCTTATTAAAGCACTATAAATACAAGTGTGCAGAGGTCTAGAAAAGTTAAAAATAAAAATAAAAGGAAGGCACCAGACACAACCCACAGATAAAAGAAAATTCAAGCGTCAACAGTAATATCAGATAAACTAATCCAGTAGATGAAAAAGTGGGATCCTTAATTATGACAACTCACCAGGGAAACATGGAAATCCTTAATTAGTAGAGCTAATAACAGAGTCACAGGTGCCCAACAGGACAACTTGAGTCCCAGAAAGCATTTTGAGTGTGATTCAGGGTGGGGGTATCAGAGAGCACTGGAGTAAGAGAGGAAGTAGGAGGGAAGAGAATGCTTCGTGACTGTTCTGTGTGCTATCTTACCTTGCATATTTTCATTCTTTACTAATTACCCGTAGTTAATCCACTCCAGATTTTTGTTTGTGTGGCTACTGTGAGGATTATTAATACAGATTTTTATTATATGCATTTATGATATAACCTTGATAGTAAAGATCAAACAAAAATAAAGCAGAAATATAGTCATAAAAATTTCTCACTATACTCTATTCCTCCCCACACCACGCTTTGTTCATGTATCAGCTTATATCTTGCTCACCATATTAACGAAGATATTATCTCAAATAATTTGCATTTAGTCTTTGTAATAGATATATTAAGGGTTTATACACCAAATTAATAATATTATAACATTTGGGTTTATTTGTATAATAATTTCTGAGCCATCTCTTTTATTTCTACCCACATTAACATTTTCTTCTTACTCCTCGACAGAGCTTTATTTCAGTTCGAAATTTTCCTTTAGAAGCTTTTAGAGCACAAGTTTGGTGGAGACATAGTCTCTCACTTTGTCTATCTAGAGATAGCCCCATTCCCAACCCTCTTTCACACCTCCTTCAGTCACTGCCTTCAGGTCTGTAAGGCTTATGTCAATCCTCTTCCGAAGTATTTGCATCCTCTCACATTGTTTCAAGTTTAAGAGCTGCCTTTAGATCTCTCTCTGTTCCCCTGTAGAGGATGCCGCTCTCCACTCTGGGTGCTCTGGCTTGATTGTTATAATCTACAACCCCTACCTGCGTTTGCCAGTGTGATTTTTTTTTCATATACTCACAACAAGCACTCTGCCTGCACTGCCCAGATTTCCTTAATTCTTACGAAAATAGTTTGGTGCTTGAACACCTGAACTACTTCATGTGTCATGGGGAGAGCCAAATAGAGGCTCTTGGTCACCATCTTGCTCCATCATCTTTCCTAAAGAGACACATCACTCAGACTCATCAGCAAATGCCCTCTTAGAGTCTCCTCTGCTTTGCTGCCATTGCTGAATATAAAATGGGTTACCATGTTCTTCTTGTAAAATAAACAACTTGATTTTTTAAAATATTTTATTTCTTAAGCCTGTGTGTGTGTGTGTGTGTGTGTACACGTGCAAGTACCCCTGGAGGTGAGAAAAGGGTGCCAGGTTCCCTGAAGCTAGAGAGCACAATGCAGTTGTGAATTGCCCAACATGGATGCTGGGGCTAGAATTTAGGCCCTATGCAATAACAACAAGGCTGGCTTTTTTTTTTTTTTTTTTTTTTTAAGGAGCAGTCTTTTGACTTCACTATCTGTTATTCTATTTTTAAATTTGTTTTATTATTTTTTAATGTTAGTTACATTTTATTAACTTTGTATCCCAGCTGTGTCCTGTTCCCTCATTCCCTCTCAATCCCACCTTCCCTCCCTCATCTCCTGCCTGCCCCTTTCCAAGTCCACTGATAGAGGAGGACCTCCTCCCCTTTCATCTGACCCTAGCTTATCAGGTCTCTTCAGGACTGGCTGCAAAGTTCTCCTATGTGGCCTATCAGGACTACTCCTCCCTTGGGGGAGGAGGTCAAAGAGCACACCATTGAGTTCATGTCAGAGATAGTCCTTGTTCCCCTTACTAGGAGAGCCACATTCTTGTCTTAGAAGAATGTGAGAAAAGAGAAGAAAGGGTGGGGTTATTGAGTGGCATGGCATCCTGGGCCTTGTCTTGGAAAGTTGGAAAAAAGAGAGTCAGCCTCAGTCTCTGTAAGCCTTCATGGGACTGGGTTATCAGTCCTGGTGTGATTGATGTGCTCGGGAGGGTTCATATTGGGGGAGGGATGCTCCACTTTTCTGGGGGGTAGGGAGAAGGGAAGGGGAAAGGAGGGAAAGGGAGACTGGAGGAGAGGAGGAAGGGGACATCCTTGGGGTGTAACATGAATAAACTGAAATAAAATAAATTAATTTAAGAGAGAGAGAAAGTCAGCCTTTTGTAACCTTCCTGGGAACTGGTATGGTTTGGGCAGTGACCTCAAGTCACAACCTAGATACAGGCAACCAATTCAGATGAAGTCAGTGGTAGCCCCAAGTCTACAGCCTGCTGCCTGTGCGGCTGTGTTATTGTCCAGGTGATGGTGTGGATCCATGGAGGTGGATTTGTGTCAGGCGGGGCGTCCAGCTACGATGGAGTAGTTCTCTCAGCTCATGAAAACGTGGTGGTGGTGACCATTCAATACCGCCTGGGCATCTGGGGATTCTTCAGGTAAGATACTAGATTTTCCTCTCTGAATATTAGTCTTTGCTTTGGTTCACTTTCTATTAATGAAGCAAATACCTGAGATTGGGTAGATACCAGCACATAGATTCATTTAAAATGTTTCAGAAGACTCCAAGTCCAATATTAGGTAGAAGACCTGTAGTGAGAATCCTTGGCTGGGAAGCAACATGGCAGAGGAACAGAAATCAGACTTTTACATGCAGAAGGGAGTCACGTGAGAAGAGAGGAAGCGACTGATGAGAGGCAGTGCTGCTGTCTTACAACAAAACACAGCTGGAGAACTAAACAAGGTCTTGTGTGCACTACAGAGGTCCCACTTGAGGGTGATACACCCAGTGACATAATCACCTTGCGCTTGACCTCATCTTTTCATGTTCTTTATTGCTCAGTGCTGACCAGAACCCAGCACTGGACTGTGCAGCCACTAATATCTTTTGCTATTACCATAATCAAAGTCCTACGTCTCTAACATGTATAGTTTCTGTAATCACCTAGTGTTATAAATCCGCAGCTTTAATACCATAGCTGCTCCAGCCAGCTGCCTGAGTAATCTGTGGGACAATGACTGGGTCCTATCATGTCTCTGCCCAGTGATCCCCACTTCCAACGATAGGGAAGATCCTGAAAAGCCACTGTTCTACCTGCGTCTCCTACATCTTACATTCACACATCTGGCCCCATGGTCCTGGGACTCTGTACCTACCGCTTCTGATTAAAACCCCTTTCGCATTTACCAGTGCAACCCTTACGCTCATTTATTACTCTTCCTCAATGTTACTGCTTCAAATAGGATTTTCCCACTTGAGCCACCTTACAGCCCCACATTGGCCACATTGTATTTTCCTGCTAGCTGACATACTCCCTTCTAATCTGCTTGATCCTTCTTTCCACTGCGAGCTGGGCATAGTCATATATTTTGTCTGTCTGTTCTGGGATGTGCTCTCGCTACTTGGGAAACACTGGCTGTGTTGTGGCTCCTCAGTGCAGCACATGGCTGCTTGAAGGTGAGTGTGAAGCCCCACATAAAGCAATGCTGTAGGGATGGCGGGCAAGTAGAGTACCCCCGCGTCAGTGATGCAGTGTTCGACCCGCTTTGGAGAAGCTCATTGAACCTCCCCGGGCCATCTGAGCTCTTGAGAATCGTGCCATGACATCTCTGCCCTCATTCCACCCTGTCATCTTGTAGCACAGGCGATGAACACAGCCCTGGGAACTGGGGCATCTTGGACCAGCTGGCTGCACTATGTTGGCTCCAGGATAACATTGCAAACTTTGGAGGAGACCCGCGCTCAGTGACCATCTTTGGAGAGTCAGCAGGAGGTTGGGGTGTCTCTATTCTTGTAAGTATTCTTGGCACCAGACCTCTTGCTGCGGGTTGATATGGCTTCTGGGGGTGGGGGAGACCTGCTGGAAAGCAGCCCGTCTAGCACAACACCTTTGCATTCAGTGCCTGTGTTCAGGTTGACTCTGTTTGCTGCATAGCATCAGACTGGACAGCTTCAGTCATATCACAAACTCTTTCTTGATCCAAAGTTTACCATTCAATTTATTATTATTATTATTATTATTATTATTATTATTATTATTATTATTAGTTTCTCAAGCTGTAAAAACCACCAGCTTCTTTTCTCACTTGTTTGATCTCTTTCTCCTTCAGAACCATTTTAACTTTAGGTCTCACTCAACAAGTCGTGAGATGCAGTGATGAGTATAGACTACAAATAAGAAGAGAGGAGCAATGAGTTGGATCAAGCGTCCTTGTTTGGGTTGAAGCCACATCTAATCTTAAACATTAAGGAAGTTTAAGACGCAGAGTCAGACTGGGGCTTCCCTGAGGTTAAGAAGGCAGCAGCAGGTTCTCTTAGAGATGTGAGGAAATGAACTGAGGAAGGAGAGATGGAAGATCCAATGGGAAAGGGTAGGGTGGAAGATGTGGGTCTCAGGCATAGACTGGACACGTGAAGTGTCTTGCTGGCGGGTGGAATTGAGCTGTAGAAACAGTGAGGGAAGCTACAGGATGTTCTGGGAGCTGTAAGAGACCATAGCTTCCTCAAAGTTCAGCAATGGCTTCATACTTGAATTCTCAGAGGAAAGAATTTTAAGTAAAGGAAATCCAAAACACCCAATGAAGAATAAAATCGTGTATAACAACATACCCAGGGATTGTCACTTGGCTATTGTTACATATTTTTTCAGTCTTTCCTAAAATTATGTATGCATAATTTTATATATATACATAATTATATTTATAATTATATGATATATATCTACCTATTCATCATGCATGCATCTATCTATCCTCCATCTATAATCTATTTATTTTTTCTTTTTTACTATATATGCAGCTATGTTGTTTTTTAGTTCTTTTGTCCAAAAAAGCTTCTTGTCATATAGTAACAGCATAAATATTTTTCTTCTGTACTACCACCTTTCTATAATTGCATAACATTGCATTGTAAAAATGAATCCTAATTACTCAGTTTTATATTGATACCTTGAACTAATTCCAGTTTTTACTGTTTGAAAAATGCATGAGCTTTCTGAGAAATTTCCCCAGGCCTCCATGATCTTTAGTTTTAGGATAAATTCTGAACAACAGAGAAACAGACAGTTTGTACTGGTAGGTATAACCAAGCCTTTTATTGGCACTGTCTTTCCAATAGTTTGGATTTGTCCTGATAGGTACTTGTAGTGTGTTTCCACTTGGTTTCTATCTCTGAACTCAAGCTATATCCTGCTCAGATACTCGTGGTGAATGTCAACACAAGAACCAACTGGCAATTGGGCTAGGATAGGTGACAAGGCTCATATCTATGGAGCATCAGGTCACCAAATGCATAGCCAGGAGATAGAAGAAAGAAGAAGGAACCCTAAATGACAAGTGTGTCATGATTCACAGTATTAGATATTTTTCTCCTTGTTGTAACAAAATATCCAACAAAGGCAACATAAGAAAGGGTTTATTTTGACTCACAGTTTAAGAACGCAGTTTATCACGTCAGGGAAGTCATGGCAGCAAAGGCTGAGCTGACTTGTCACAAGGAACTGGTAGAAAGGATGTAGAACAGAAGTGAATACTGATGCCCACGTCTCTGGGGGCCTCTGATCTTCAAAACCATGTCTTCCAACATGGGTCAGGAAATCAAACAAGTATAGTATCTTCCCAAGGACAACAGGCTTCATCTGCAGAAAGGTGCACCATGACAGAAGTGTGAGATGCAGGCTGGGACAACCCCCTTTGTCTCGGTCAAACATCTGGGGCTTAACTGTTTTTCTCCCTGGTTGCTTTTGGCATGGTCTGATGACTCAGGGAGTCATCATTCCCATGTAAAGGAAGCCCAGAGACTGGACAGGCTGCTAGTTACAGATCATGAGAATGCTACAACGCATCTCCCAATCTCAGTTAATCTGAGATAACTCTCCCACAGCTATGCACAGAGGTTTATCTCCTAGGTGACTGATTCCAGATCCCTTTCCAATTTGATGTTAATCATGACACACATCTTGTGAACATAAAAATCTTCTCTCCCATGCGAGGTGTTGTCTCCTTTGGCCAAGAACCTCTTCCACAGGGCCATTTCTGAGAGCGGCGTGGTCTTCGGTAGAAACTTGGTCAATAAGAACACCCAGGCTGTGATTGAAGTAAGTCCCAACGAGGGCACTCCTGCACCCTTTTCTGAGCTGCCCTTTGGGTCCTCACTGGCTTTTCTGGCTGTGGGATGCAGCCGAGATGCTCCACCAGTCCTTAAAGCACGAATAGCTGCGCAGAAGGACTGCCTTTTGGCCCACAGCTCAGACATGCTCTGCAAGTTCTGACGTGCCTTCCTGTGGTCCACATCACACAGACACCCAGTGATTCTGCGCAGAAACTGAAATGTGGAGACTCTGTAGCTCACCCAAGGACAAGCATTTAGTTAGTGGCAGAGGTGGTATCCGAAACCAAACGAACTTTATCCTTCATGGCAAACGGCCTCTTTAGAGGCATTCAGGTTGGAGAACAGTGTGCCGAGTGTGTGTGTCTGTGGTGTGTTTGTGTATGTGTGTGTGTGTACATAGTAATTGCAGTAGACACTGTACCCATTTAAACAGGAAAAAGCTAAGAAGGGTGCAGATATTGATTCTATAACCCACACATGTCATTATTCCCTTTAGTAATAGGGATAATATTCTGTCAGGAATATGGGGCCCATAATCCACACCTGCTAATTTAGAGCAGTGGTCCTCTGCCATTCTTTTTGTTGTTGTTGTTGTTAATTTATTTATTTAATCACTTTACAGCCCGATCACAGCCTCCTCTCTCCTATTCTCTCAGTCCCACCCTCACACACTCCTCTCCCCTCCCATTCTTCTCAGAGACAGGGAGGCCTCTCATGGTTTCCAACCCAACCTGACACATCAAATTGTACCAGGACTAAGCACATCCTCTCCCACTGAGGCCAGACGAGGTAGCCCAGCTAGGGGAAATGATTACAAAGGCAGGTAACCAAGTTACAGACGGCCCCTGCTCCAGTTGTTAGGGACCCACATGTTGACCAAGCTGCACATCTGCTACATATATGTAGGGAGCCTAGGCCCAGTCCATACATGCTTTTTGGTTGGTGATTCAGTCTCTGTGATCCCCCATGGGCTCAGGTTAGTTGATTCTGTAGGTCTTCTTGTGGAGTCCTTGACCCCTCCAGCTTCCTCAGTCCTTCTCCTATTCTTCTACAAGACTCTGGGTCTCTGCATCTGTTTCCATCAGCTGGTGAATCAAGCCTCTCAAAGGGCGGTTATCTAGGCTCCTGTCTGCAAACATAACAGAGTATCATTAATAGTCTCAGGGGTTGTCTCTCTCCCATGGGACAGATATCAAGTGGTGCCAGTGGTTGGATGACCATTCCTTCAATCCTTGCTCCATCTTTAGCCCTACACAGCTTATAGCGAGGACAGATTTGGAGTTGAAGGTTTTATTGGTTGGTTGGTGTTCTTCTTCCTCCACTGGAAGTCCCACCTGGTCACAGGAGGTGAACTCTTCAGGCTTCATATCCCCCACTGCTAGGAGTCTCAGCTAAGGTCACTCATATAGACTCCCAGGACCCTCCCCACTTCCCAGAGATGCCCTCCACACACTTCCGTTCTCTCTCCTGGACCTCCCCAAGCCCCCTTTTTCTCACAGCTGATTTCCATCACTGTTATCCTTCCCACCCCCTCTCCCACAGTTATGGCTAATATCCACTTATAAATGAATATGTACCGTGCATGTCCTTCTGGGTCTGTGTTACTTCACTCAGGATAATCTTTTCTAGTTCCATCCATTTGCCTGCAAATTCATGATGTCTTTGTTTTTAATTGCTGAGTGGTATTCCATTGTGTAAATGTACCCTTTGGTTGAAGGAAATCTATGTTATTTCCAGTTTCTGGTTATCATGAATAAAGCTGCTGTAAACACAGTTGAGCAAATGTCCTTTGGGTATATACTCATGAGTGGTATAGCTGGGTCTTAAGGAAGAACTTTCCAATTTTTCTGAGAAAGCACCAGGAGCATAAGGCTCATGACATGGCTGGATCCACATGTTGCAAAAACATTCCATATCAACCTCTAGTCACTAGTTTCTCATTTTTCTTTCTTACCTTTATCCTGAATATTTTCATTACATGTAAACTGAACTCAGGAAGTGAGAATAAATAAGAGGGACAGGTCCTGCCTTGGCATAGGCAATGAATATGTCCTCCAGAGCTGCAGGGGCCCTGACTCTGGGTGGACCTGTCTCCTTGATGCTGCTTCCTGTCCCCATCCTGCTCCTCCCAGTTCTTAGACTCAAGAACCCCATATAAGAATCAGGTGGGTGGAACTGATACCCCAGGGCACAGCTCAAAGGGTGATCCTTTACAGGGAAGGTTCTCAATACATCCCTGCCTTTGTTTTCATAGAATCCTTTTGCCCGAGATTTCAATGGAGACCAGAGAAAGAACAGAAACTTTTTCTGTATTACTGGTGTTGCATCTTAAAGGCATTAAACTCTAGTTAGCTATGAATGAAGGGTTTTCCCAACACTCTAAGGAAAGTCACTTGCCAGCTAAAATAGGCAAATGGTGCAGAGGTAGTGCTAACTGACTCCCAGCACAGTGCTTTCAGTCAGCAACTTTATGCCCAGATCCCATCTCTCCCTTCTCATTTACCGTTCTTACTATGGAGACAGCGCAGTGGAAGAAGGCTGCACTGAACCACCACAGTCAGGAAGCTGGGAGAGCTGGCTGAGAGTCTCAGTTGTCTTCAGAGCACAGGGCTTAGAGCTGTGCAGAGAGTGGCCTAGGACATTCAGTTCTGAAGACATGACCCAGGGAACTCACAGATAGTGCCTAACCCCTCCTCCCACCTTCCCTGCCACCTCCCAGAACTGGCCTGTGTCTGCTATCATTTGCTATGCTGCATCTACAGTCTTGTTCCAAGCTCCTTCCTGGAGACCTAGACATTCCCTTAAGATCCAAATGAGATTCTCTCAGTCAGGTTTTACTGTGTGACAAGAGCTGATTTTCAGCTGGGAGAAAACACTGAGACATGGCTCTGTGCATCCCTAGACTTGCAGCAGGAGGTTCTTGAAGTGGAGGCAATAAGGAAGAAACAAGCATGTGGAAGTCACCGAGGAGGGGTAGTTTCAGCTAAGGCTGGATGATGATTCAGCATGAGGTAGATGATCAGTGAGCTCTGACCCTGTTTTTATTTGATTTGATTTGTTTTGAGACAGGGTCCTACTATGTGGCCAAACATTTCTGATCCTCCTACTTCAGCCTCCCAAAAGTCAGTGCTAGAGGTATAATCCCCTTGCCTGCATTGATACAGTATCCACAAAAACAGCCCTGAGAAGACTAATCATACAAGTGGAGTCTGAAAAAGTAGATGCCCATATACCAATTTATTGCACTTGAATAATATTATTATCTAGTAGCACTGGTCTTTATCATTCTATTCCTATCCTGCTAATGGCAAAATCAAACAGCCCACAGAGATATATAAACACACAATTAAGTTATTTTTCAGGTCTTCATTTTTTTATAAATTTTCCATATTGCATAAAGTGCACATCAAATTATTTGAGGTTTTTTTTCCTGTTGTTAATTTGTATTTTAAGCACATCAGCCATTTGGTGTAGTGGTATATGCTTCTTTTCCCCCAGCACCATTTTCCTGTTGCTGGGATAAGAGATGCACCAGCTCTGCACACTGAAATAGCAACAAGAGCAATTTGGGAGAAAATAATTGACAAGTTTTGGAGTATTTTTATAGGCATTTTTTGTAATGTTCATTTTACAATATTCAGCCATTAATTTAAGACTTAAAATTGCTAAGTTACATTCAGAAGAGAGAAGAGACAAGATGGAGCCAAAATAGGTATAAATAATTCATAACACTAATTATATGTGTGTGAACAAGTTTATTTCACAAGTATGATTGAGATGTGAAAGTCTTAATACATAAAGACTTTAAGATTTGTAATTGTTACTATTATAAGAAGTAAAGAATGAAGAAAACTTGTTTTGAGGGTTGAGAATCCAAGGCTCCTCCAGTTGTGCTTGCTATTCCTTGGTCATGGCTTCCCGTGTTATGAATAAATGTATACATTCATGCTCATAAAATTTTTGCATAAAATCTCACAGACTTTAACAATTTTGTATTTTTTTTCTCCAACATCAACAATTTGTAATGAGTTTAGATAAATAATGGATTTAGGCTACAAATTAAGTATAAAAGTACATTTTTGTGAAATTATAAATACATCTTCTTTGTTATTCTGTACAATAAAAAAAAACAGCCCTGAGTGCCAGTAGGGTACCACATATATTTCAGTTATACTTTCCTTTCTGTTACTGTGATTGAAACACTCAGACCTAAAGTAGTTGGGGGTTTATTTGTCTTATACCTCTAGGCCACAGTCCATCATTCAGGGAAGACAGGAAATCACGAAGGTCTGTTCAGCCAAGAAAATAAGTACAGCTGAATTCATGGAGGAGGGCTGCCTGCTGGCTCATGCTAGGTTCATGCCTGGCTGGCTTTCTTAGCTAGCTTAGGACTTGATCCCAGGGAATGGTGTTGCTCACAGTAGGCAAACAAAATGTTCTCCCACAGAATTCTCACAAGCAAATATGATCTAGACAATTCCCTAATTGAAACTCCCTTCTCAAGTGACCCAAGGCTGTTAAAGCTATGTGTGTGTGTGTGTATGTGTGTGTGTGTGTGTGTGTGTGTGTGTGTATTCCTAACACATGCCTGCCCACTTCTACATTTATTACCTCACTATTCATAATAGCAAAGAAATGGAGTCGCATGTCTGTCTATCAAAGAATGCATAATGAAAATGTATCATGCATATACAATGGCATTTTAATCAACTTAAAGAAATGTGCCATGCATTATATGTAAAAAATAATTTCACTCTGTGGTCTTCTATTTAGTATTCTCCGTGAGAAGTCCCCCAAGGCCAGGCCTTTGTGGCTTTCCTGGGATTAGCCCTGTGCGCAAACTCCTCTGTCACTTCCCACTGCTTAGAAAGGTCCACTCTTTTCTTCAGTTGTCTGTAGTGTTCTTGCAAAGATACCACTCCACATATTATAAAGACCAGCTTCATATTTCCAGCATGTCCTCTTCCTTCAAATAGGCACCTCCTCTTGCCAGCTTTTAGAGCATTCTCCCTTCATGACTCAGCTTTTCCAAGGTGGCAGTAATCATGCCCATGTGGTATTTTCTATTATCATCCCATTGGAGCAGGATGTGGTGCTTGCTATGGTCTTTTATTTCTCTAAATAGGAACAAGGTCTCAGTTTAGGCACCTCAAGTGATAAGTTTAATACTTCTCAAAGCCAACCATATATCCCAAAGCACTCAAGTATAGATACGGACAGACATGCAATCAGCCCTAATTGATAAATGAGAATTTTCATCTCCCTGATTCCCTACCACCACTGCCTTGCCACTGCTGATGCCTACCTCACAGCTCTGAAATTAAAGACTCTTAGACTAAGCCATTGTGTTTGGAATGCTGCCACAGCTACAAGGGTCTTTTTGTTCGGCAATCTCTCAGACCAGCAAAGAATGGATATGGCTGAAATGTATGGTAGGATATTCCTAAATACTGTATTTCTATTTTCCTTAGGACAATGTCTCCCTGTTTGTAGTGATGGATGGGGTGGTGCTGCCAAAGGCACCTGAAGAGATCCTGGCTGAGAAGAGCTTCAACACGGTCCCCTACATTGTGGGCATCAACAAGCAAGAGTTTGGCTGGATCATTCCAACGGTGAGAATGTCCAGACCTCTTAGATGCACTCCACACAGGCTCAACCAGCATCTTCCCTGCTCTCATTAAGCGTTATCTACCCAGAGGACTACAGTTCAATGGAGCTTAAAACTTGCCAAGTAAATGTGTTTGAGAGTCTCTGATGAAAAAGGCCTTTGAAGTGCCAGTTTACATCTGGGGCAGAGGAGGGATTAATAAGTGGGGGCTTTCTAAAGTAAACTACTCAAGAGGGGCTCAAGGCTAAATAGAGAATTCTCTGTAGAAAATATAGAATGGCAGAGAAACACTTAAAAAAATGCTCAACGTCCTGTCTTTAGTCATCAGGGAGATACAAATCAAAACAATCCTGAGATTTCACCTTACACCCATCAGAATGGCTAAGATCAAAAAACTCAAGTGACAATACATGCTGGACAATACATGCTGGAGAGGATGTGGAGAAAGGGGAACCCTCCTCCATTGCTAGTGGGAATGTGAACTTGTACAACCACTTTGGAAATCAGTCTGACACTTTCTCAGACAATTAAGAATAGCGCTTCCTCAAGATCCAGCTAAACCACTCCTAGGCACATATCCAAAATATGCTCAAGTATGCAACAAGGACTTTTGTTCAACCATGTTTGTAGCAGCTTTATTTGTAATAACCAGAACCTGGAAACACTCCAGATATCCCTCAATGGAGGAATGAATACATAAATTGGGATACATTTACACAGTGGAATACTACTCAGCAATTAAAAACAAGGGAATCATGAAATTTGCAGGCAAATGGTGTGATCTAGGAAAGATCATCCTGAGTGAGGTATCCCAGAAGCAGAAAGACACACACGGTATATACTCACTTATAAGTGGGTACTAGACCTATATATAGAATAAACAGACAAAAATCTTTACACCTAAAGAAGCTAAGCAAGAAGGAGGTCCCTAGGTAAGACAATCAACCCTCACTCAAAAAGACAAACGGGATGGACATTGGAAGAAGGAGAAAACAGGAAACAGGACTGGAACCTACCACAGAGGGCCTCTGAAAGACTCTGCCCAGCAGTGTATCAAAGCAGATGCTGAGACTCTTAGCCAAACTTTTGGGGGTAGTCAAAGAGCCAGCCACTGAGTTCATGTCAGAGACAGTCCCTGTTCCCATTACTAGGAAACCCATTTGTATACTGAGCTGCCATGGGCTGCATCTGAGCAGGGGTTCTAGGTTATATCCATGAATGGTCCTTGGTTGGAGTATCAATCTCAGAAAAGACTCCCCTGCCCAGATATTTTGGTACTGTTGCTCTTCTTGTGGAGTTCCTGTCCTCTCCAGGGCTTACTATCTCCCCCTTCTTTCATAAGATTCCCTGCACTCTGCCCAAAGTTTGGCTAAGAGTATTTGGTTCTTCTTAATTTACTATGATTCACAAATATTTTACCGTTTGTTTAACAGATGTTGGGCAATCTCCTGTCTGAAGCCAGAATAGATGAGAAAATGGCCAGTTCCCTCTTGTGGAAGATCCATTCTGACCTTGTAAGAGTCTAGGAAATCATGGGAATTGGTTGGGGAATGTCAGTGACTTGCTTTAATCACAGGCAAATTCAATGGCTGTAAAGAATAGTGATGATTAGGGTTCACCTCTCACTTTTTTACTCTTCCCACTTTGCACCCCAGGGTAAAATCTCACATTTGTTGTTCACCAATCAAAAATCCCCATGGGTCCAGGACAAGATGCCAGGAGAAAGATTTATTTGGAGAGCTTTATACTCAGAAAAGACTGATTCCGTGACCAACAGAGACCATCAGGTTTATACGCTGGAGGCCTAATATCACATCGTTAGGAGGCATATCAAATAGATGGGCACTACAGCAGTTACTAAGTGCAGGTCTCCTGCTTTTCTGATGCACGGTTTCTGTTATCAGATCACTGAACAGATAGTCTGGGCTCTGCTAATCTAAAACAAAACATTTACTGACCAGCAAATCTCATGAGCCATGTCTTTTTTCATTCCATTACCTAAGTATAGCTTATTCTAAAGTTATTTGCTAGGGTACAAAAGGTATCTTTTCCCTACAGAACAGGGGAAGATACTGAACATTACTTCTCATATTTCCTTTAGAAACAGCTAGAGATAGCATTCACTAGACAACAGTTTCCAAGCTGTCAGGTGATACCAGGCAAAGGGACCTTTTCTACCACAGCCAAAGGGAAAACACAAATTTCATACATCTAAACTTAATGACACACAGCAAGTGGATCTAGAAAATCTTCTCTGGTATAGCAGGCTGGCTTGCTACAAGACCCAAGTGGTTCATGAGTCATGAAGTCTTCTTAGCCTTCTGACGAAGCCTCGTTGATTGCCGGAGGGAGTAGCCACTTTCTGATCCATTTTAGAACATCTCTGAGAATATGATCCCAGCTATCATTGAGAAATATGCAGGAAGAACGGATGACCCTGTCAAAAAGAGAGACTTTCTGCTGGATTTGTTAGCTGATGTATTTTTTGGTATCCCATCTGTGCTCATGTCCCGTGGCATCAGAGGTGAGTCTTTCATGTTGAGTGGGAGAACATGGACTTAAAAACAAGTCTCTGACTTGCCCATTTCTCAGCACAAGCCTATATATACTTGCTACATCTACATACACTACACTACACTACAAAACACACACACACACACACACACACACACACACATATACACGCACACACACCAGTTGATAGAGTACTTGAATAGAAGGCAGGATGCCCTGGATTCAATCCTGAGTATCATGTAAGTCAGACCTAATGGTACATGTTTGGAATTCCAACACTTGAAAGAAGACTAGATCTTCCTTGGCTACATAGGAAGTTCAACGAAAGCCTGGGTTACATGAAATACTTTCTTACAAAAAAAAAAAAAAAGAAATAAAATTTCAGGGTCAGGAAAAGGGTTGGGGGGGGGGGGGGGGGGGGAGAGGAGGTGAGGACCAGGCTTGTCTGTCACCGATTTAGGCTAAGTGTGAGGCTGCACAGAGATCTTCCTAAATGAAGCATGATTCTCTTGTGCCTGGGTGTGCTCTATTCCAGCAAAAATGTTCTGCGAGGGCTCAGAAACAGTTACATTCTGTTGGGGGTAAGCTGAGCGCTGTTCTTTACAGTTCCATCATGTCCCCTTGGCCTAAAGCCTTTGTTCGAGTTCAGTGTTCTGTTAGGAATTCTCTGTCTATATGACCTAATCATTGCTGAAAATGGGATACTGAAGTCCACCACTGCTTTGGTATTATAATCTCTCTTTCCCCCTTATACTTTAATATTTGTTAGATATGTTTATGTACTTTGCATTAAATCTGTTTTACCCTTGTTATATTCCATTGGTGAACTGACTTCTCACCAATATATAATTTGTTTATTTTTTCTTTTTATACTTTTTTTTTTTTTACTTAAACTCAATTTGTGAGGAAACTATAACTATCTCTTTTCTCCTTTGGCTCTTCTTTGTGCATGATATCTCAGTTTCCTCCAAGCGCAATCTATGTATGTCTTAAAAGGCTGGGGAAGATTATTTTAAAATCATATAAACTCAGGTCTTTTAAAAGGCCATTCAGTCACTGCATGCCCCTTTGTTGGAGAATTCACATTGAAGGGAATTAGTGATAGGCAAAAACTTATTAACACCAGTCACTTCAGTTATTTTCCGCTGGTTTTGAATATTCTTCTACCTCACTCTCTTGGGCTCTTCTAGCTGATTTGACGGTTTTCTGTATTTACATACTTGAGTCCTTTCTTTTTATTGTGTGCTTTGCAAAAAGAAAAGACAACAACAAACAAACAAACAAACAGAGAAACATCGTGGCTACCATGAGGCTTACCAAGAATGATGCCCTATACCCATAGAACCTACTTTAGGTTGATGACAATATAATTTGATTTCATTTAACAACTGTACAATTTTACCTAGTTTTTAGATTACCCATTGTAATCTAAATTGTAGTACAAAATTCGCTACCTATTAAGATTAGGGTTCCATGGTGTCTTGAATATGGCTTCCTAAGTGTACATCACCGACTTCCATGTTATCCGTTAGTGCCTGTAGCTTTTGGTTTAAAGGACTCTGGCAAATCCTCACAAGGCTGCTGCAGTGCTCTGACACTTCCCCTCTTGGCCACTCTTCTGTGAACATCTAAACCCCACTATAGCCACTGGATCGTGACTGACTCCCCAGTCTAGGGGCTCAAGCAAGCGAGTGGTAGCCATGAAGGAGCAAGTGGCTCCCGTGATCCACATAGCAGAAAAAAAGGGGTCCTCTTCTTGGGCTTGAACAGGTATCTTTGCTGGTGAGAGAAGATAATAGAGGACATGGGCAAGTTTGACTTCCCTTAGGAAGCCCCTGTTTTGCCTCAGGAAGTCCCTGTTTCTCCTCCACTGTACTATCATAAGGCCCTGACACTCCCAGATAATGCGAGAAACAAGATAATGAGCGTGAGTGAAGTATGTCCCACAAGTTTCGCGTTTTTCTGCCTTTGTGCATATGTCTATGTGTTTGAATTTAAATCCCCTCATATTCCAATGAACAACCTGGATGTGTGTCATCCTTTATTGCGTGGTTGAGGAAAACACTGGGGATGCTCACGATCAGCATGAGGAGGTGCCAATCTTCTGAGAATGAGCAGGTACCCGGTCTACTCACTGAACACATCCAGGCACTCACTGCCTGCATTGCACTCTCTGACCCCAGGCGCACCTCAACCAGCTGCGCAAGCCAAGCAGGCCCCTGGGCTTTCTAAAAGCTGCTTCTGTCCTGCGCTAGTCACCAACAGTTTCCTGCAGGGATGGGCACCTCAGTGCCACCCAGGTGTGTAACGTGAACTGTGCACAAACCCGTGTCTTCTCAGATGCCGGAGTTCCTACCTACATGTATGAGTTTGCATATTACCCAAGCTTCGTACTTAACAGCAGACCAAAGACGGTGCTAGGAGACCACGGGGATGAAATCTTCTCTGTATTTGGAGCGCCATTTCTAAAAGCTATTGTCTCTTTACCGGGTGGGATCTGGGAGTCAGAAGGACTGGGTTCTAGTCTTGGTTTCAGCAAGTTTCTCCTGGCACTCTGTAGCAGAACTGAGCTATATTAGGCAGTCCCCAACCTTTCTTCTGTCCTAAAAACACATAAAGATGGCTCGTGTGTCCCAGCCATGGTCATTCTCAGAATCATGACCTGTGGCATTAGTAAGAGAGAGTGAGCCACCCCCAAGGCTCGGATCTAGTACTAGATTACGACAATTTATTTTCCCATAAGACTTTGAATTGTTACATGATGATCAATCTATCTATTTATAGTCCCCAAAATTATGTAACTTAGTTATTATATATATATATATATATATATATATATATATTCCCTTTTAGTGAAAATAGATTTCTTTCTCCCCTCCCTCAACTCCTTCCAATTCCTCCCACCTATCCTCACATTCTGTCTCTCAGTAGAAAACAAATAAGCTTGTCAAATAAATATAACAAAACAAAAACTAACACATTGAGAAAAAAAAAGACAAACAAAAGGAAAAGAGCCCAGGAAAAGGTATAAGAAACAGATACCCACTCATTCACACACTCAGGAATTCCATTAAAGCACTAAACTGGAAGCCATAATATTTATGCAAGTGACCTGTAGGGTAGAGGAAAAAGAAATATATATATATATATATATATATATATATATATATATATATATATACAAATAACTTTAAAGTATATTGAAAATCAGACAGTGTTTTCTAAATAAAGGAAGAGCCCTGAAATAAGGTTATAAGACAATGAACCTCCAAAGATGCCATTGAGTATATTTTCTGTTGGTTGTTTACTGCCAGGCTTGTAGCCGACCCTTAAGACTAGTTTGTTTACCCAGTGAAACTCCTTTGGAGGAAACAAAATTTTCACTTGTAAGTAGAGAGGCTTGCAATCAATTGGAGATGGCTTCTGGGTTAGGGACGGGACATGTGTCCGCTTCTTTCAGAGCTAGGATTCCATCTGGTGCAGGTCCAGGTGAGAGCCGCCTCAGTCTCCATGAATTCATAGGAGTTTTGATCATGTTGATTTAGAGGGCCTTGTTTCCTTGGTGTCCTCTATCCCTTCCAGCTCTTACACTCCTTCTACTTCCTCTTCAGTGTATTTGTTCCCTGAATCCTAAGAAGAGGAATTTGATGGAGACAACCCATTTAAGGCTGAGCATTCCGGAACACCCTCTGCTAGGTTTCTGACTTTGCTCTCATCTTCTGCAGGAGGAAGCATCTTTGACGGTCGCTGAGCAAGGCACTGATGTAGGAGGATAGCAGAATGCCATTAGGAGTCAGTTTGTTGCTACATTTTTAATTATTTTATTTATTTATTAATGGTTTTACCGCAGTTAGTACTTGTCTTTTCCTAGGACCTTGGGCTATCTAGTCTCTGGTTCTTGGTCATTCAAGCAGTGTTAGGTATGGGTTCCTTCTCTATTGATGGTTACCTCCACAAGCTTTGTGCCATCTTGAAGGCAGGGCATCACTGAAGATCAAAGGGTGTGTGGCTGGTTTGGTGTGTACATTGCTCCTTTGGAAGTGTGCAGAGTACATTCCTGTACCAAAGACACTAGTATGTAGGGGCGAAGGCTCTATATAGGTCCCTGATCAACTTCTCCATGTTCAATGAGTTGTGTAGGTATTGTCTTCAGTAGTGGGGACTCCATCAATCTGTGGAGAGCAATCTTTGGGAAGCTTCATTTAATGACCAGAGATGGCCAGTTGGGGTTCTGTCTCCCCGCTTACTTTTCAGCAATTTCATTTAGGTTGACTTCATATGTATATATATATATATATATATATATATATATATATATATATATATATTTTAGGAAGCTGTGACTGTATTAGGTTTCCATTCTACCCCTCAAATGGCCCTTGATTAACTGTCTCTCCCCATACTCCCCTCCTCATTCCCCTCTTGCCTCCCTCTCTTTACTGGATCCTCCCATTCCAGCCCCTCCTTACCTTCATCCTTCTGTAACTATCTAGTCTATTTCCCCTTCCTGGGGAGGTTGGCTGACATCTTCCCAAGGATTCTATGATATACTTAATAACATTATAATTAATTTTTAATGTGTGTGTGCATGCCTGTGCATGCATGAGATCAGAGAACTTGAGGAAAAAGTTCCTTATCATCTACTATGAGTCCCAGGAGTACAACTCAGATTCTGATATTTGGTGGCAAATGCCTTGACCCGCTAAGCTGTCTCTCCAGCCCAATAATGTGCTTTAAAAAAAAAAAAAAAAAGCCTTTCACAGATGTCTTTAGTGCCTTAACTCTCAGCATTTGCATAAGCTCATGACCCCACCTCTTGGATCCTTATGGGCATTTCCCGGCTGGACTACTCCTTAATCCTTTGTGGTTCTGTACCTTTTATAGTCTATTGATAATAATACTGTGTGAGAGTGATTGAAAAAGGACCCAGAGCAATTCTCCAAAACAAACAGATACTCTGGAATATGACATTTTGACCCCAAGGATGGAGAGGAAGGCAGATGAACACAGACAACAGAGGCAGCTGGCTCATGGTACACACACATTCCCACTGCTGGGTCACAGATCAGTCTCTCGCCCGTACCCCTGAACTTGCACAGCAATTAGCCAGGATCTTCCAACAATGGAACGTTTGACTAAGTGGCTGAGGACTGGGCACCTGGTTCTGCCTTTCTAACAAGTTCTCAGATGAAGCTACATCTGTTTCACACTTCCAACAGCAAAACTTTGTTTCCCCCTTCCCCACAGAGGGCGCCTCAGAGGAGGAGACCAACCTCAGCAAGATGGTGATGAAATTCTGGGCCAACTTTGCTGAAAATGGGTGAGGCTGGTGGCAAATATGGAAAGGGTGGACAGGGTGTAGTCAGGCATACCTTTTGGGAAGGATGACTTCTCAAGTCTCGGTGATGAAAGCTGTGACCATTTTGTGTGACGATAGTGCTCTGCAATGAGAGTTTTCTAGAACCGGATGGCCTGCCCCAAAAGATGTGAGCTCTCTTTCTATGGAGGTTGTCAGCCTCTCTACTGAGATAAGCCAGGCATCCATTCAAACCTCAGAGGGATAGAGGACCACATAGAAGTCTTGAGAGATTCCATTTGATTCCATTCCCAGGAACCCTAATGGCGAAGGGCTGCCCCATTGGCCAGAGTATGACCAGAAGGAAGGATATCTGCAGATTGGTGCCACCACCCAGCAAGCTCAGAGACTGAAAGGGGAGGAAGTGGCTTTCTGGAATGAGCTCCTGGCTAAGAAGCTGCCTCAAGCAGAACATACTGAACAGGCATGAATGGGAGGTTCTGCCGGTCACAGGACCAGGAGCCAAGTGGGGCTATTCAACAAAAGATGCTTATTCACCAAAGATGAATCTTACAGAAGAAATCACACAATTGTATATTGGGGCACGGACAGGGGCCAAGGAGGGGGAATATTTCTATATCAATTTGGAAAATAAATTTTCTTTTGGAAATCAAATCAGGAGTTGTGTCTTGAGATGAAGATGAATGCATCAGCTTGGAGAGAGGGGTAGAGAGAAAAAGAGAGACACTGACATAGAACGATACCCTTTCAAGGGAAGGTTTGGGGAATAGTTCCTGGAATTTGAAGAGAAATGTCTGATTGGAAGAGAGGTGGGATATGATTATTACCTCATGTTTCACCTCCAAGTAGACAACATTGTCACACTGCAGCTCTAATGGCCACTTGTGGGTGAGGGTGGAAATGTAAAACCCCTGAGAATTACAAACCCACGGTAGAGTTTATACCCACCAAGACTCCTCCATGGACTCTGCTGGGTGTTTACGAGTAAGAATGACAGCAGATAGCAAAGCTGGACAAAGCTTGTTCCTAAGGGTCCAGGCACACAACACCACACAAACTCTTTTACATGAAGGATGCAACCTCTGCAAAAAGAACAAGGAACAAGGAAGCCTGTCTTCTCAGAGCTCTCGTGAAGACCCATTGAGGCCCCGGAAACAGAACTGCGATATTTTATGTTACTAAGTGGACTGCAGGACACCGTCCTGGTAAATGTGTTGGAGATATTTCAGAACTGGGGAGAAGCAAGATTTCTGAGAAGACCCCAATTCCAAGACTGGAGCCATAAGGTCTCAGTAAGTTTGGGATTAGACCAGAGCTACAGACACTGCTCCCAGAATCTGCCACTGAGCCAGCAGAATACCAGGTACCATCTACCAGGAGTAAAAGTATGAAGAGAGACTGTCTGTGAGGGGCAATCGAGCAGGCTGGAAGAACATACGGAAAAAAATCGGACAGAGATGGGAGAGAATAATTTATAGTAATGTACAATTTTTTAATTCATGTAATTGATATGCTGCTGCTTGAAAATACAATGTCTAATATCTAAAGATGTGAATATTGTATACCAAGAGCAATCAGTAAAAAAACCTATTTGCAATGTTGGGCATTAGATTTTTTTAAAGGGGGTTTAAATAGTAATTCAGTGTTGGAGATAAAATGAAATTGTCATTCTCAAGGCAAGCTAACATGGGAAATAGAGCAAGGAATAAATGAACATTCATAAAAGTAATGAGTTGAATTCACCTTATGAATAATTTTGCTAAATTAAAAAAAAAAACGTCTAAAATGCATTATTTAACCAAGATCTTGAGACTGATTTAAAAGCCATAACCCAATTATGTGCTGAGTAATACAGCATCTGACGCCACTTTCTGACCTCTAACCACTGGTGGCTTTTAAGCTTCACCGGTCGCCTTCCTCTTTGGCTCCTTATCTAGAGAAGCTGATTAGAAAGCCTGGGTACTTCCTCCCTTGGTGCCAGGGTAATATCCGAGCCTCACAAGCTCACCCTGGCCCCACCCCAAACACATAAAAGTTCTAAGCCAGTGGCCTTTCCTTCCTGACTGAAAGCTTTATCCTGTTTGCCACACTTAGGCCAAGACCTCCACTCTGCATGCTGGAAGACTGTGCAGTTTCTTTGGGGGGGGGGGGGGGGGGGGGGGTAGTATCTGCTCCCAGTGTGGACATGCTGGAAAAGACAGAGATAGGTCAAAGGTAGGAGACAGGTATACCAAACAGATCCTGAAAGAACAGGTGGTAGCTACGTGAATTATCAGGTTATCAGATACTGTAAGGCAACGGGGACATTATAGAATATAGTAGGGTCCATTCAACAAGACATGGCAGTCCTTAATGTGTGCATACATAGCCATAGTGTCATACAGGCTTTGCATGGTATCTTTGCTGCCCCCATCCCTCTCTCTCTATCTCTGTCTCTCTCTGGCTCTCTGGTTCTCTCTCTCTCTCTCTCTCTCTCTCTCTCTCTCTCACACACACACACACACACACACACACACACACACACATCAGTCTCAAGACAAATTTGAGTGCTGTTGTGATTTGGGGAAAATACTCGGGAGGTCATAGAGGGAAGAGACCCAACAGAGCAGGGGCCAGCCATGGCAGGTATGGGGCAGCAGGGTTCTAGTGGAAGAATGAGGCAGCCCACAGGGGATCAATGGGAGGAGGTATAAAGTGGTCAGCAGAGGAGAGGAAGGTGTGTTATATATGAACCCTCTCTCACCTACACTGGGGCCCTAGGAAGAGAACTGAGACACAGAAGGAAAAGCAGAGCAGCTCATGTGGACAGCTGCTGTGTGTCTGCTGTTCACAGCCTGAGGAATCCTGAATATTCTCTTTCTCGCAAGTGTCTTACAAGGTGCCCAGCTTTAAATTACACTTGCCATCCAATTTTCTGTTTTCTTGCTTATTTTAAGATTTTTCTACCAGGTAGAAGTTGAAGAATTGCTTTGAGGTTTTCCCATATTTTATTCCAGCTGCCTGAAACCTTCCTAGATGAGACCCAGACATCTATATGTTTAGCTTTCAGGCATCCTGATCCAGACTTCTTACTGACAATCACTGTCTGAACAGAGTAGCATACATACTACCTAAGTTTCTAAAAGTTCTCAGAATTCCTGCTGTAATGTCCTTGGCTTTGAAGGTATATTTTAATGAACAACTTTAAGAATGATGCTTTCATCTTTCAATGTGATTTAAGGCATCCACACTTTCAGGAGACTCGGTGAGTCCAAGACCAGGCCCTCTCTCAATCACTCCTAAGTCTTGCAAAGGCCTCCTCTCTTCACCAAGCAGCAATCTGTATTTTCCATCGTGGTAGAAATATATTTTATTTATTTGTTTCTCAGAAAGCTCCTCACACCCACAACCAGTGCTGCTTTGTTCTGTGACTTCAATTGGAACCAACACCACCAACTCTCATTGGCCTGAGTATTTCCCGGTGTCCAGCAGAGGGCGGCACAGGAACAAAGGAACATGTTTTTCTTCAAGGCGACCAGGAAAAGGCTGCTGCGCCTAAGAAGATGCAACCCGGGCAAGACTAGAAGCCTTAACGCAAAAATACATTAGAAACTAACCCCTATTCCCCGGTACGTGTTTGTGATCTCAGCACTTAGGAAGTCGAGGCAGGAGAATCCGACATTCAAGGCCATCCTTAGTTATGCAAGAAGTTCAAAGCCAGCCACGCGTGAAACTCTGTCTCAAAACAAAACAAACATTAGAAACCAGTATCAAATGGGTTGCCCATTTTCTCTGGAACATCTGCGAAGATACGATTCACAAGCGTATCAGAGACTGAAACCCACAAGTTTTTCATCGCTGATTTTATTTTACTGTGGGAGGACATACATCATGGCAAATGTTCGAAGAATGATAGGTGGGTGAAAAGGCAGGTGGATGATTATACTCAGAGACTGTGGAGAGATGGAGTTGGTTTAACCTAGAAACATTCTTCCTAAACATACTAAAAAGTCATGAGTTCTCTGACTGCAGAGGTAGATGGCAGCAGGCCTGGCCACTTGACAGGAACATAGAAAAGTAACTTAAGAATCAGAAAGAGAAGGATGTGCAATTTAACTTCACTTTCAGAATTCAGACACAGAATTCTCTGATACAGTAGCCCAGAGAAGTTGCAGGAATGTTCTAACTGCCCAAGACTGAGTGGCTCCTGAGTGTGAGTTGATCTAAAATTTCAAGCCTTTACTGAGGGTCTCAGACCACAGCATAGCCCTGGGTGCAGGTCCCATTTCCTGTGCTTGTTTTTGGAAAGCTCAAGGTGGACTGAGGTTAGAGTGCCATGGAGAGAGATCTTATGTAAGAAGTTGTTGGACAAGTTTCAGGTCATCTGTAATCTGATAGTTGAGTCTGGAACCAATTATAAGAGCTTGAACTCAGGCTGGGTCTGGCCTGGGTTGCCATCAGACCCCTGGGAGCTCTGGAACAAGGAGAGCACCTTGTCATCTCATCACCAGAGGCCTGGACTGCACATGGATGGGTGAGGTAACAAGGCCTCGAAATCTAAGAGGGGTTGTGCAAAGCCCTTCAGAAGAGCACCGTGACCACCTCAAAGGGCCCCAGAGCAACTGGCCTTTCACCATGTGGCTCCTTGCTCTGGCCTTGGCTTCCCTCAACACTTGCATGGCTCTTGGTGAGTTCTTCCAAAATACAAACACTGGGGGTGCCTCTGAAGTTCCTGGGCCTGGGCTGGGGTGGGTGAAGATGAGTGTAAGAGAAAATCCACTTACCAGCAGTATTTCAATATGGCCTTCTAGCAGAAGAACCCAGCAAACTCCACCCATCACAGAAACTCAGGGAAAGAAAAACACCCTGATAGGCCAGCTTCAGGTGCAAGTAGGGCAGTGAGCTAACATGATGTGTTAAGAGAGCCCCTTAGCTATCTCCCAGGTCTTACTCTGGCCGAGGCAGATATGGAGAGAGGCTCAGCAGAGTTCCAACAGCATCAAGTCAGGAGCTAGAGCACAGGACTAAAACCTAGCCCAGCTCTTCTGATCCCTGTGTCTTTGGACAAGACACTTTAACTTTGATGTGTCTGGGTCATGAATCTGGAAAATAAGAAAACAACAGAACCTTCCTAACTGGGCTGTACTGAGGATGAAATGGGTGGTTGTTTCCATAGCTCTTCACATGTGTCTGGTCTACAAGCCCCTCCTCCCCCCCCCAAAAAAAAGGTGCATTTAAAGAGGGCATATTTTTAGTGGGTATATCAATAGACTTGAAATATGGTCAAGCCAAAATGCTAAGAGATAAGGGCTACAGAAAAGATAAGGTGTTCCCCAGTTTCCAAGAGATGTTGGTGCTGAGCTGTATGTTGAGTGAGAGGATGAATTAGAGGTACTCCTTTGACTCAGGAGCCTGATTTGTAGGGGAAGGACTATGGTCAGGATGATGGGAGAGGGGACAGGAAGGACCTACAAGGAATTGGAGGAGGGAGTGAGGCCTTTGGATCACCATGGGGAGCTGGGACTTGTGATGTGGAAATGAGTAAATAAGGGAAGGTAGGAAGGAGTTGCATAAGTGGAAAAAAATACGAGTTCCACGATTCGAATTCCAAAGTACAAGCCCTGGCTGAAAAGAATGAATGACATACAAATACTGCTAAATAGAGTCCATGGGAAGTGGGGGAAAGTTTCTGAAATACAAGGGTGCATGATGGGAAGGGTCTCAAATCCCTAGCTAAAGGACCAAGTTTTGCTTAGTGGACAAATAAACAATAGTGACAATTCTGGAGTTAAGAATATTCTTCTGGTAGCTCTTCACACGGTCACCCTGGCAGGGATCCTGTCTAACCTGAGAGCTTCATTCTTGTGGAGCATAGAGTTCTTCCTCAGCTGCCTACAGCTTCACCCCTGTGTTGGTCCTACTGGGCATGGTACTACACAAAGCCAGCCTGGCCCTCTGTCCTGATGCCGAAGGACTTCGAACCTCTTGATCATGGCCATGAATCATGTCTTCTCCTGTGTGGCTTTGGAGAGTCAGCATCTCAGAGCATCCCTCTCAGAACACAATTCTATCCCCTCATCTTCCAGTTGCCCCCATTTGAATACAGACAATATGTCAACATCTCCACTCAAGTGTCTGGTCAGAAATTGGTCTTATCAGAGAACAGCCAATAGCCTAGGAAGGTCTTTACAGGAAACCATATTGCAAAGCAGATCAGTGTCCACTCCAAAACATGGAAATAGTCACAGCTGAGGACATCCACCAGAGTGGTGTCGGGAGGAAGGGTGAAGCACCATTAAAGTCCAGAGAGAAGCGGAGGAGGGGAGGGTAGAGTGCAAGGGCAACATCTGAGCTCAAACCACTAGCTTTGGCCCATGTTAGCTCAGTGATGCTCTTCCACCACATGAAGTGGGCAGAAGCCGGTAGCCATGTGGAAAGTCAACAGTTGGGATGAGACATAGAAAAAGGAATGCAAAGATTACAGCTTATATTCAATGGAAGGTACACATATGGATCACTTATTGTATACCACATGCACATTCTAGTTACTTTACCTTCCTCCTCAGAGAAGCCTTACTAAGCAGGCACTAACATGGCCACGTTACAGATGAGGACACCAAGAGAATGGAAGAAACCTGAATGGACTTCCTGAAGATGGATTGGGGTGAGGTTGCTGGAGAAACCAGTACCAAAAGAATGCACCGTTCCAAATTTGTCCATTCGCATTCTGTCTTACATTCACTTTCAGATCTTCCACAGTGTCTCAGGGCCAGAAAGGAGACAAAATCTAGACATGGTGGAGTTGCCAGGGCTCTGAGGGCCAAGCACACTGACTCTGGATTCAGATGCCATAAATAAACAAGATCCAGTTTGGTGGGTGACACTGGGGTGGTAAACATCCTAGTGAGTTTTACTTCCTCAGCCCATCAAATGGCATGAAAGCATATTGAAGTCCTGAGCTGTACTGTAACAAGTGGATTCCATTTTCTGTATTTGAGCCTTCAAACACAAAGCCTTGCAGATCTGGAGAAGCTGCCACTCACAAGGTGCAGCTTATTCAGAGCCTGTACTTTAGGCAGCTCCAGGATGAGGTTCTTATAGCTTACCACCTATTTGACTTAATCACCCAGAGCCAGGCACCAGACAACTGAGTTTTGCACTCCAAAGAATGATGCAAACTGGCCTCTTCTACCCTTTCGTCCTCTTCTTTTTCACAGTCCCTCTACCTCCCCCTCTTGATTGACTTTGGTTCTTTTCCTGGTCCTTTCAATGGTAAGTAGCAAGCAATAAGGGGCAACTTCTCGTTCATCCTCTCATCCAGCAACCAACACCAACATCCACCACTTCACTGGCTGAGCTATCTCCCAACCTCCATGGGATAGAGGCTTTTCTGCCTCTAGTTCTAGTTTACACCTTCTGAAAACCATCTGAATTGGGAAGGATGGTTTTTGTCGTCCTAATTTTATATTAGAAACAATTGATGTCTACATAACTGTGGTAGCTTATTCATGAGCACAGACCTAAAACTAGTCAACACCCCCTTGATTTCAGCTCTAAGATAACCCTCTTGTTATGGTCTTATTTCTACTCTGTGTCCATTAGGACACCCCTCTGGACCACCTGTGGTGGACACTGTTCACGGCAAAGTCCTGGGGAAGTACATCAGCTTAGAAGGATTCACACAGCCTGTGGCCGTCTTCCTGGGAGTTCCCTTTGCCAAACCTCCTCTTGGATCCCTGAGGTTTGCTCCACCACAGCCTTCAGATCCCTGGAGCTTCGTGAAGAATGCCACCTCCTACCCTCCTATGTAAGCCGCTGGGTCACTTTCAATAGAATATCTGTCTCAGAGAGCTGTAGGAAAGAGTTGAGGCCATTCTCTGATTGATTTCACTTGGTTTATGTATCCTTAGCATACTGTAAGACCCCAAAGATGTTCCATAAGTGTTAGGGTGCCCTAGAGCCTTTCATCAAACACATATTTGTTGAACACCTGTTATATTCAAGACATATTCTAGGTTCTCATAATGCATCAGAAAACAAAATAAAGATCCCCTACCTTCATGAAGTTTGTATTCTAGAAGAGAGAGTTGGGGGTAGAAAATAACTAATTGCAACCAAAAAAAAAATGAATTGTGCAATGTGTTAGAATGATTCGTGATCCAGTCACTGCTAGAAATCCTGATAGGAAGAGAAGACTTGGGTATCACATCTCTCCTCCTGTCTTGAACTCTTCATTGACAGTGTTGGGGGTGAGATGTAGTGACAGGTGCAGCTGGACACAGAAATCCAAAGCGTCCAGATGGCCTCAAAAAAAGCACCTAGCTTTTTTTTTTCCTGGTGTTTCAAGACAGGATTTCTCTGTGTAGTCTTGGCTATCTTGGATTCGCTTTATAGACCGGTCTGGCCTCTAACTCACAGTGATCCTCCTGCCTCTGCCTCCCTGAGGGCTGAGATTAAAATTGTGCACCGCCATGTCCGGCTGGCATCTAGCTTTTCATATTCCCTCCTTCCTTTCTTCCCTCTCATTGTCTTCCTACGTAGTTAGGTGGTTTCCTCAAGCAGTATCCTTTGATCCTTTGACCTTCTTTCAGTGTTTCTATGATAAGCGTCTGCTTTGCAGCCACTGTGGAGCTTACAACAAATAGCCTGTATTTACAATATTAAGTTGACGAGACCCCACCAGTAACCAAAAGAAAATCAACACACTAAGTTACAACTTTGTTCTTCTGTTTTGAATTTCTGATGGCATGGGACACATTTTGTCTTGCCTACTATCAACAAACTCAACATACTGTTTTTATTCAGTGAAATGTTTTATCAGTTTAAAAACAGGTGTGAATACTTAGCGTGATTACAGCGCTAAGGGAATTGTAATTGTCTCTGTGTTTACATCTATCCTCGAAGGTTAACGATCCTGTTACACGTTGTTTTCTATCTGGAACATCCTAGTATTTCTTGTATAGCAGAGCTGGTAGCAATAAATTCCTTTTCTTTTGTTTGCCCAGGAATATTAAAATTCCTTTATGTGTTGCTTGCTTTTCTTACTGTTTTTTCTTTTATCTTTGACTGTTTGGTTTGTTTGTTTATAGTACGTCATAGGTGATTTTATTGGGTTTGATCAAACTTGTGGCCTTTGTCCTTATATCCTGACTTTAGCATCTCCCTTTAGGAGGAAGCAGTCTCTTATCCTCTTTGAGTGCGCTTCCCTGTTCTTTGTCAACTCTCTCCAGTAACTTCCATGTTTGCTCTTTTGATGTTTCAAATGGGTGAATGGGTCTCAGATGTTTTCTTCATTCATTCCCTTTCTTTTCTCACTCTGTGTACTTTCAAATAAACTGCTTTGGGGTTGTGGTTACAGGTCAGTGGTAACCTGTTTACTTAGCAAGTTCAAAAGCCCTCAGCATTATAAAAATTACGAGAGACAAAAGCATGAAATAGCCTGCCTTCAAGCTTCAAGCACACTGATCTGCTATCTGGTACATTTGTTGGTTCATTTTTTTTTCAACTTCATTCCTTGTACTTTTCACCTTCAGCATTCCTGCTTGATTTTTTTTTTAACATTTAATCTCAATGTTGAATTTCTGTGGTGACAAATCTACTATATCTGCAATAAGCAATCAGAAATACTTCTGTATAAACAACTTCTTTCCAAAAAGACAAAACAAAACTTTCAAGATGAATTCATGAGCCACTGCCTTGTGTTTCCATGGAGTCTGCTCTTCTTCCTTAAGTCAGAAACAGCTGTTTGGAGTCAGAGCTCTGGGACATCACACATCCCTGTCACTTTGGGGTCAGTCTCTGGTGCCTTGCTTTGTGTATTTATTGATGTTATGTTGCCCTGAATGTCCCTGATGCTTATGCTCATTGGGCAATGTTGACACATTGAAGGCCTGAGGGTCTACAGTCCCTGCAGTCACTTTGGTACCTGAAGTCTCCTAGAGATTTAACTAGATTAGAAGCTGTGTTCCTTAAGCCTGTGGCAGCTGCACATACCTCAGCACCAGAGGGCACTCTGACCCAGGCTGTCTGTGAGTCCCTGAGGGTCACAAGGGTCTTGAGGCTTTCAAGACCAGATGTACACACAAGGAGACACCCAGGACTGCATGGAGAAGCTTCCCAGCGATTTCAGGCTAGAATCATGTCCTAGTGGCCAGGCAAGTGGTGGATATTCTGTCTCAATGTATCTGATGGGTACCCATACCCTTGCTGTTACTTGTACAGACATGATAGCTGTTTCTCTACAAACATGAGGCCTAGAGTTGACATTGGGTCCCCTTTGGATCTGCTGTTTGACTGTAACGGGTGCCAGTGCCTCTGCAAGGTCTTCATGGAGGCCCAGAATTCTTGCTAGGACTCCAGGCACCTTCATTTCCACACCAGTATCTCAGGCCTGGTAATGACAGTTCAGTTTGTAAGCTTAAAACACATACTAGAAGGCCCACCCTTGGCTTTCTGTTTGTTTGTTTGGTTGGTTGGTTGGTTCGTTGGTTCTCAGGGCTCTTTATTCTCCCTCCTGCAGGTGCTCCCAAATTACAGGAGTGGGGCCGGTGCTCTCTGATGTCTTCACCAACCAACTAGAAAATGTTCTTCTTGAGTATTCTGAAGACTGCCTTTACCTAAATATTTACTCCCCCACTGACCTGACAAGCAATGACAGGCTGCCAGTAAGTGTTCAGATTGGCAGTGAGCACCCAGGAGCTTCAGCATCCTGGATCTTCCAATGCAGATTAGAGGGGATGAAGGATGCCTGCAGTACAGGCATTGTTATACAGGCCTCTGACTTCCTTTGGTTTGGGTACTTCAGTTTTCCCCGGTGATTTCAGACATATGTGGGAGGCTGCAGTATACCTGGTAAGCACATACTAATTTGTCCATGTTCTCTCACAATGAACACTGGGAGAGCAATGTATGTTCTCTTATCTGCTATTTGAGAAGCTAATCCCTGAGGAATAAAGACATGATCTCCAGCAAGGTCAGAGGTAGAAAGAATCCAGGACCCAAAATCTACCTAGTCTCATTTTTGTGGATAGAGGAACTAAAGCAAAGATGGAGGAGAGTTATAAGTTAGGGTTGATGGACCAAAACCTTGGGTTCCCTGACCTTCAAACCATGTCTTTTAACACAGACTTGGAACAACTGTGTGGCCTTCCAAGTACACCAGGGTCCATCTGTGAAAACTTTCATGGTCCTAAGGTGTGTGGGATGCAGACTGGGACAATCCCAGAAGCATTTCCTTTGCCAAACATCTGGGACTTCACTATACTTTGTTTCTCTCCTTAGTTGCCTTTGGCAAGGACTGATGACTCTGTGAGTCAGCATTTCCATATAAACAAATGCCTAGAGATGGAGCAAGCTGCTAGTTACAGGTCACAGGATAGACGATGGGGAAAGCTGATAGTTACAAGTCACAGGATAGAGGATGGGGCTTCCAGAGAAGGTGAGTCTTGGGATGGAAGATACCACATAGTAGTATGGGCAGTATGTCATTGCCCATCAGCTTTTGCACTCAGCCTTCACTCTGAGATGGCCTCGCCTCAATCCTTCCCTCGGGATGGCAGGGAACCCAGGAGAAGAAGAAACAGGGGATGTGAGAGTCTGAAGGCAAGACACATTCCAGCTATGGACACAGGTCCTAAATACAGGGTGTGGATTAATCCTGGGTGTACCTTTGAGAAGATGAGAGAGTGTGCTATTTCTTCGCTTTCTGTATCTTCAAATGAGTACCTTTCTGTGTGACCATGGAGTGGTGACTTTCAAGTGGTGACTCCAGTCCTGGATGAGCACACGCAGGCAGCGAGAGCATCTTGCCTTTTGCCCTGGTTGCTCCAACAGCTAAGTCACCACAGCTGTGGACTACAGGAGTTAAGAAGTCAAATGAGGGCTCCCGGTCAAGTCTTACCTCTGCCTCTCATGCACTCCAGAACCTCAAGCAGATTGCCTATCTGTTACATAAATAGCTTATTTTTAAATACTTTGAACAGTAGTAATTATATCACAGTTCTCGAGTTCTTTCATATTTTATTAGCAACATTATTTTACCCTTTCAGTTCTTCCTTAAAATGTGACCTCCGGGAGCCATTCATCAGAACGGTACCTAGCTTTTCCCCTGATCCTTAATCTATATGGCAGGGCCTGGTGGGTAGTACCTGGTGGGTAAGCTCTCAGGTAAAGTGTCTGAAGACTTCTTGCAACATAGATGGTAGTGAGGCTTAGGAGAAGGCTGAGGGGAAACACCTTAGAGAGGGTCACCTCGGTAGACGTGTGTATTTCTTGAGATAATATTTCACTCACAGGGAAAGTTAACTCACCACTGATCCAGGCATGAGATGGCTGGTGTTGGGGAGAAAATGAAAGCCTTGGTTACTGCTGTTTCATAATGAAATTCTCAGTTGGAAGAACCATTGAAAGACACGACCCTTGATACTGAAGAGAAAGGCAACAAAAATGAGTAGCTAGGCCACACTGAGTGGGATGGTGATCTCAGACCAAGCTTGGGTAGTTAGGAAGGATTAAGCCTTTTTGTTGCCATGATAGGCACTTGTGGGCTTTGGATAATGGCTTCCTTAGTCATAACCAAGAAATAATTAGGTGATCAAACGTCTTTCTTTCTCTACTTCTTATAACCTGCATGGTTTCTGGCTGTCTGTCCAGGTGATGGTATGGGTCCATGGAGGTGGTTTACTGTCTGGTGGAGCATCAACTTTTGATGGACTAGCCCTGTCTACCCATGAAAAAGTGGTGGTGGTGGTCATTCAATACCGCTTAGGTATCTGGGGATTCCTCAGGTGAGATATTGGACCCTTTTCACATTATGTCTACATTCCCCTGTCAGGAGATTAGGACCCAGCCCTGCTACTTTCATCCTGAAGGGATCTTTGATGAGTTCCTTAAAGAAACTACAGTTCTTTCATCTGGACCCTGTCTGTCTTCTCTTTCCTCACCCACACCTGTGCACTTGCTCTGGGCTTTTGTGTGTGCTGTTCTCTTTGCCTGGAAGGCCTGTTGTTATACTCATGCGTCTTTCAAAGCCTAGCTGTCATTTAACCAGCTCTGAAACGCGTTACTGCCCAGCACATTGCGTTCCTGACAGCAGTCACTGTGCAGCACACAAGTTTATCTCCTCCTGGGACAGTAGGCACAGAGGAGTTTAGAGAATGCGGAGAATGCCTGTGTGGGAAGAAATGAGTGGCCGAGGGTCAGAGGATCTGACCCCAAAGGATCATCATTCCCTGGAGAGTGTACACACAGTTCACTTCCTCCTTAGCAGAAGTCCAGGCTAGAACATCGAATCTGTGAGGTCTGGACCAGGTTTCCTGAACTATAATGCTGGGAGGCTTTTCTGCATATCCCTGACATGGGATTTACATCCCTGACAGGGCTGTCAAGTGGTCCACCTGAGCTCCAGCTGCCACTGTGGAGCTCTAGTCTTCCTCTCAGCTGGTTGTTCTAGGTTTGCCTTCCTCTTAGGTGCCACATCTCTTTCACCCAGGTTCTGTTTCTCTGCTTTCTATTTGAACAAGCCTTTCACAAGCAGTTCCTCTACCTCCTCTCTCTCCGTCTCCCATGCCCGGCAGGCTGTGCTCTCTGAAGCCACCAGTGACCTCCACCCTACCTGGAGTACCTTTCTACCCATCAGTACAGCTACTCATCAGTACATGCTTTTGAGCTGCTTCTTTTCCCTGGCCCTTGGCTGGCTTCCACCTCTGTGACTGCTCATTCTCAGAGCTTCCCTGCTCCTTCCCTCCCCATTCTCAAGCCTCTGTGTCTCTCCCCCTTCCTGTCCAGTAATTTCCAACATTCCCCACTGAGGTGGTTTGAAATGAGAAATGGCTCTCTCCTGAGCTCATATATTTAAATATTTGGTCCGCAGTTAGGAGAACCTTTTTGAGGATGAATTAATAGGTGTGGCCTTGTTGGAGAACATGTGTCACTGAGGATAGGCTTAGAGGTTATAAAAGCCCACAACCACTCCCTCCCTGGATATCTTCTGTCCCCTCTCCCTTCCTCCCTCCTCCTGTCTTTCCTCTCTCCCTCTCATTGTGCCTGATACTTGTGGGTATGATATAAGCTCTCAGCTACTGCTCCAATTCATGCTGGTCTGCCTGCTGCTGTGCTTCCCACCATGACAGGGCCCTCTGCAACTGTAATCAAGCCCCCAACCACATCTTTCTTTTCTAAGTTACCTTGAACATGGAATAGAACAGTAACTAAGACACTCACCTCTCCTTCGAAGTCGAGATGCCATCTTTAACTCTGTCCTCCTGTTACCTTGGATGTCTACTTCCCAGAGACAGGGCAAACCCTTGACAGCATCCTAGACCATAAAATCACTCTTCCTGTTTTCATAAGAGCCCCACCACCACCACTCCGTGCAGCTGTCCTCAATTCTATACTTTTTAATTGCTCTTAGGAAAGCCCTTGTGAAAGTCTAGACTCTTCTTTATTTCATACCCCATGCCTGTGTGGCCAGCTAACCCTCCTAGATCTATCTTTCAAGTACATTCAGAGCCTGGGTACTCATTTATTCCTTGCTTCTACCAAAATCAAAGCCCTGTGTCTCTGGCCTAAATTACTATAGTGACCATTTAGCTTTTGCATTGCCTCTTTAATGCAGTGGCTGTTCCATATTGGGCCACAATTACCTCCACAGAGGACTCCCATCTTTCTAACAAGTGTATTTATAGTTCTTGTGATTAGAGATTCTGACAGCAAGGAGCAAAGTGTTGAGATAAATTTGGCTAGGAAGTCCAAGGTAAGGTCTTGAATTCTTTCCTTGAGGTCATCATGCCTTGGAAGGCCCCATGTGTCTGTAATGAATAGTCTTAAGCCTTTTTCCAGTTATCCTGATGATCAGCCTCCTGCCCTTCTCTTTAGTGAGTAATCTCTCAGCTCTACCCTTAAATGCCCTTTCTCTGTTCCTTCTCTAACCACGTGCAAATTTGCCACATGTTTCTAGTCTGTTGCCCTTTGCTCCTTGGCATCACTGAAAATCTCACTACCAGCAGCCAATAATGTCCACACTGTGTCCTGAAGGCTTTGCTGTCTAGCAATTGTTTCCACATGCAAGCTACTCCATCATTCTTAATTTCAGTCTCCCATAATGCTTCAGGGCATGGGCTTAGCTTACCCAAGTTCTCTGCAAAGATGCGCAGAAAAGTCTTTATTATAATCAGGTATTCATCCACTTGCAATTACTCCCTTCATCTCCTTGTCACCTGAGTTCCCATCGATAGCACCCCACATCGACAGCACTTCGGGATGACTAGCGTAATCCTCCCAATCCTTTAGACTTTTCCCAAAGCCATTTTCACATTTTCTAGTACATTTAAATCAGTGGACCAACTCATTGATACCAATTTTTCTTATCAGGCTATTTCCCATGGGTATAACCTAAAGCTTAGTATTTTGTGAAATATGAGGTTGGACTGGAGAGATGGCTCCGTGGTTAAGAGTAAATACTTGCTCCTACAGAGGACCCAAGTTCAATTCTTAGCACCCACATTGGGCAGCTGACAATTGCCTATAACTCTAGCTCCAGGGAGATCCCATGCTTCCTATTTCTTGATGGTACCAACACTCACACATGCACAGACCCTTGCACACACATACACACACTAAAAATAAAATAAATTCAAAGTTTTAAATGAGATTCATTTATCACATAGCTTCAAAGGCTGAAAGTCCTTACCTCATAGTTCCAGCTGTGGAACTTCTGAGCTGTGTCACATCATGGAAGATGATATTATGGCAGTGGGGGACATCAAGAGGCCAGAGAGCAAGTAGGAGCCAGGCTTGATCTTCTATAACTTTCTCACATGAACTAACCAGAATGCTACTAGAACCACCTTCATTCTACGGCCATCAATAGCCCGATCACCTAACAATTGACTCCCCCCACCCACACACTTCTAAAGGTTGCGCCACCTCTCAACAACGTCTCCTCACTGGAGACCAAGCTTTTAACATACAAATCACTGAAAAATAATCCACGCCTAGCCATTGCCAGCTCCTTACCCATCACAGCCCAGCTATAATGGCTCCCTCTGACCCCTACTCTTATCCTTCTCTTACAGCACAGGAGATGAACACAGCCGAGGGAACTGGGGTCACTTGGACCAAGTAGCCGCACTACAATGGGTCCAGAACAACATTGCTAACTTCGGAGGGGACCCAAGCTCTGTGACTCTCTTTGGCGAGTCAGCAGGAGGGGAAAGTGTCTCCGTCCTTGTAAGTATTCCTGATACCAAGCCCCATAGCTTGATGTGGCTGTTGATGAGGCCTCTTGAAGACCATTCAATCCAGCCACAGACTCTTTGGCTGACAAGACCTGGATTCAGATGGACTCTAAGCATGACTCAGCATCTAGGCAGTGTAAAACTAAATACCAAGAGCTCCCAAGAAACTCAGACCTCAGCTTTGTGTCCTGGAAACAAAAAAATGTCCAGCTGAGCCTTTGGCCATAGCTTCTCAATTGTCTGAGTTCTCTCTTCTTCCTAATCACTTTGATTTTGCAATTCACCTGACTTGGGTGAAGAAACAGATGCTAAGGGTCAGGCACTAGCTCACTATTTGGCTGGAAATTCAACTTACAGGTAGAGAGAATGTTAGAGCACTGAGAGCAATGGGGCTTCCTCTGAGGTTGTCTTGGGGCTTGTTCATGCCTAAGACAGTGGGCAGCAGCTCTGAGCCTAAGGCACTATGCTTTTGTGAGAGTGAGAAAGAGCAGAAAGAGGGGCAGCAGGCAGAAGGCGGTCACAGATAGCCTACAGGTGTGAGTGATCTTGCTGGGAGCACAGCGAGGGAAGCTACCGAAAGCAGTGGGAACTGCACAAAACCCTCCCGTCATCTCAGAGTTGGACAGATCAACCCTGTTATATTTTTAACCATGTTTCAATTTCATTGTGGATACTCACAGGATAATATTTTATATTTTTTAAATTGATTTTTATAAGGAGAAAAAAAAGATGATGTCAAAGGAGAAAGAAGGCATCACCGTTTTGCCATCTAGGCATTGTCACTGTGGCAGCTAAACATGTATTTCTTTTGTCCTGCAACTTTATTTATCTTGTCTCTCCATGGCCTCTGTTTACCATCTGCCTACCATTTCTACCTTTTTTATGTATCACGTAACTTTTTAAGAAAAACTTTCCTCAGTATTACACCACCATAAACACTCCATAAATACTAAATGCCTTTTCTTAGTACTCGCTTTCACAACAGCATAGCTTTTCCATGGTAATTATCTGACATTGTTTGTTACCCAGTACTATAATATTAGAACCTCAGACTGTTTCTTATATTTAGATGTCAGCATTTTTTTGGTTATTTTTGTTTTTTTAAGTGTAACCAGGGGGACTGGGTTTCCCACACCTGCATTTTGATTGACTATGGTTTTCTATAATGGTTTCTACCTGTTGAAAACAGAAATTTCAGCTTTCTATTTGGACTTAAGACCTTAAGAAGAGGAAAATCATGCCATGGATCTTGAAAGAAAAACCATAATTGTTTTCTTTACTAACCCAGCATAATCCCTAAATACATTTGAAATATCTCTCCTTATACCCACAGATAAGTATAGTCCTCACCCCTCATCAAGGAAATGTCTTAAAAAAAATCTTTACAGATGCTCATGATTTTTGCTGAGATACTTTCTGAGTACTAGGGACACTGGAGTAGTTTGTAGTAGGAACTGCAAAACCTTTCTTTTCAGTGATGTTGATTATCATACCAGGTGCATGCCACATACTTCCTACTCTGTCCCTGGCTCTGGGGAAAGCTGGGGAGCAAGCAAAGACAGATAGAGATATCATATACACTGAGATCCAGAGCTTGCAGGCAAGGGTGGAGGTAGAGGGAACCTTACAAGATAAGCAAGTCGGTGACTATCTTCCTTGAGCATAAATTCTCCTCCTCTCTTCCTCCCTAGGTTTTATCTCCCCTGACCAAGAACCTCTTCCACAGGGCCATTTCTGAAAGTGGTGTGGCCCTCACTCCTTGTCTGTTCAGGGAGAATACAAGGCGTGGGGCTGAGGTAGGTCACCAGGGTAGCCCATTCTAACCTCTTTAAGAACCTTCAAGAAAGATTTCCATTGTGTGATCCAGGTGATATCTCCAAGAACTGGAAAAGCAGCTGAGGCCTCATTTTATTCTCTCAGTTTCTAGTTAGGAAACTGGATCAGAATGTAAAAATGACTTATCAAGGTCACGGTGGTCAGAGCCAAGTTGAGACTCAAGCTCAAGACAATGGACTGCTGGCTCAGAGAAATGTCCTTTGAGCCACTGCCCAAAGTGTACCAAGGCAGGCTGTTGGGAAGCACAGTGTGGCCTGTCATTACAGCACATTTTTGTCAGAATCTGAGTTCTAATGCTCAGCTTGCTGGTTAAGGTTCTGGGATGATTCCTCCCCGAGGCTGGGGTTGGTTCCCAGAACATTCATTCGCTGGGTATATCTATGTGCCTTGAAGCCTAGAAAGCATCCTTTCTAGTAAAGGAGAGCAATATTTTTAAATTGTGTAATTAAACAAATGGTAATATTTCAACAATAAGAACATGCATGAAGGAAGGAGAATAACCAAAATCTGCTGAAATCACAAGCATCCAAAAAGAACATTTAGAGAGAATGTGACCAATAAGCAAGAACCAGAAAGATCAGAAAGACAAGACATAGTTACCTGGTGAGCAAAGGATATCCCAAGAAGGAACAGCTTGTGCAAATGTCCTGGGCAAAAAGGAATCTTGTGTGGGAGAGTGAGGGAAGGCTGGTGTGACCAGAACAGACAGAACAGAGTGAGCCAAGAGTCTTTTCCTCTGAATTCTACACCTACCCCATACATACAAATATCAGCCTTTGTCCACCTGTGCCTCCTCCTCTAGCCAGTCTACTTTCAGTCCATTTGGGTACCACACCTGCTGTTGAGATTACAAACTTCCACTTGGTTCAAGGAAGCAATAGCTTTATTCTATCATTTGGGATCGAAGGGTGAGGTATTATTTTTGCTTTGATTGTTCTTCGTAACAATGGGACATGAAACCAGAAGGTAGAATTTGGGATTCTGTGCTTCTAACCACCATTGCCCATTGTCATTCTCAAAAAAAGTCAGCTCTTAGATAACAATACCCGTGTTATCATCTAAACGGCTAGCAAGACACAAATGTGCAAGTGACTCATGTCACCATCCTGTTAGTAACTGGGGCAATACTGTTGAAGCCAGAGCCTTCACCTGCTGGTCCAGAGGGCTTTCTGCCCCCACATCCCACAACTGGGCTTGAGATAGAGACCTTCTCTTTGTATTCATGGAGGTGAGAGACAACGTCATTTAACACTACCATTGCCTGTGATCTCTGCAGCAAGTCGCCATTGCTACAGGGTGCGAGGCCAATACATCAGCCAATATTGTTCACTGTCTGCGTGAGAAGACCGAGGAGGAACTCTTGGCAACCACATTGAAAATGGTAGGTGTGTCTATTTCAGCAGTCCCCACACTTCTATCCTAGGTGTGGTGGTCCTCCTGTTCTGAATAAACTACAGAGCGACTTTTCAGAGACAGTGTCAGCCTTCTGTTACAAGTCAGGTTCTTTTTACTATAAAATAGTTCAAATGTCAATAGTTGAAATATCATCCTCATTATCATCCTCTGTGCGTGTATGATCTGATTCACCAATATGCAGTATGGTGGATACTACAGGACCATCCATCCATCTAGATGTCTATCCAGGTACTTGATGGGTTAGATGAGGTGAGAAGAGAGTATACACTCATCACACCCAGCTAAGATGCCTGAAAGGAAGGGCACACTAGAAGATGTGTGCTCGTGATGCTCTGTTATCATAGGAAAGCTTGTCAGAACACCCAGAAATTACAGCACCTGGGAACATGTGTCCTATTCCCTTCATTGGGAAGATGTGAGTGTGATGTGAGAATAGCTTGAAACTTTGACTTCCCTACCTCTTGCTCTTGCTTTCATTCTTTCTTAGCCCTAGGTGCTGGAGGGTAATCCTGGACCCCATAGTATGCCATTAGCACTGGGTACTGCCTGTTTGTCCTGTCACATCAGGTTCTCATAAAATAATCAAAATATTCAAAGGTTTGTAAAGCTTGGAGTCAAATACTTTGTTGATTTTCCTTGTGACACAAGAAAAAGCATATAAGGAAAGGTAGACACACTAACTGTGTTGTCTCCAGGGTCTGTCTCTTTGCTTGAGTCTGTCCTACCTTGCCTTACTCCACCCTCATGTTCTTATGACAGTAGAGCTCCCACAGTGAGCCCAGCCAAGGGGAGACCAGAATAGACAACCTGGCAACCCAGGAGTGTAGCTAAAGGCCAGCCTTTGTACGAGGACTTCTGCTCATCACATCTTCTGACTTTCTGTTCACAGAAATTCTTTGCTCTCGATTTGCTCGGAGACCCCCGAGAGGTAAGGATCTTTGCTTTTCCATTATGTGTGCTGAGTCTTAACACCTGTAAGCTTCAATTAACTGTGAAGCAAAAGGTTCTCCTTGTAAAATGGTAGTTGTGCTCTGTGCGCATGTTTAGAGGCCCAGGGAAGATAGTCATTTCTCAGAATAACATAGCCAGGAAGCCACAGGTAGAGCTGTTCATCACAGCACAGTGTGCCCAATGAGCAGCTCAGCCACCTGGGCCTGGGTGTCCCCTTCTTTACATTTCTTGCTCACAATAGGTCCCTGTAAGAGGAGACAAGACTAGAGCCTTCCACTGTCAAGGGGCAACGATGTTTGGGTAAAGATCTTAGGAGCCTTCACCAAGGAACTTCAGACTGCTTCACTCAGCAGAAACTCCCAACTTTGCCCTGTATCTCCCGGTGCTTTTCCCCCACCTCCTAGCAAGAGCCTTTTTGTCCTGTGACATTTGTTGTGCAAAAGTCAAATATCTACCGCCCACTGATGGTCCTGTGAGGATGGTGTGAAATTCTTTCAGTCAATCATCAAGGTTTTATACTATGAGGCTAGAACCAACTCAGCAGCTAGGATACAGCAGTGAAACAGACAGGACTGTGGGCCTTCCTGGAACCTTCCATTCCAAGGAAAGTGAGTGGTGCATGCAACAAAACAAATAAAATAGAGTGAGGCACACTTAGTTTATACCAGGATCCACTGATTACAAAGCGGAAACAGACAGTAGGCAAGGGGCCAGGCAGGTACTGAGACCACCCAGGGGGCTGCACTGTAACATTCCAGGAAAGAGATCCTGGAAAATTGTACCAAGGCCTCAGGAGAAAGGTGGGAAAAAGCAGTTTGTGGCTGGATATACTCACAGAATTACTTGACAAGATTTGCTGATGGAAGCTGTTGACTAAGAGATAAAAAGAAGAGGGAAGGATGTTCATCTCTTCTAACCAAAGCTGGCAGTGAGCAACAATGTCATTGAACAGACACCAGCATCACTGAGCCCCATGGCAGTCTCTGAGGTTCCTAATGTTGCTGATGTCCCCTCTGAAGATGCTGCCTTGAAAGGAGCCTTACTGTATGTTTTCTGGACTGTTTTTCCATTTTCTACATCCACTTACCCCCTCCCCCCATGCCTTGGTGTTATCATATTTACCATCCACAACACAAGTTAAGGTCCTTTCTTAAAAGCAGACCTAGTTTACAGCATAAATCTCCTTGCCTCTGTGGAAGACAACTCCATGCAAAACGTATCTTGCTGTGTGCCAGATATTGTGCAGAACGCATGATCTTCCCTGTGACCCTCTTTCTAATGCTCTCACTCATCCACGCCCATGTTTCTTAGCATTTCACGGCCTGGCCCAGCATAGTAACACCTCCACTCCTTTCCTCATTCCCTGTCCGCTGTTTAAAAAATCCCAACCCATCTCTACCATTCAACACTTCATTCCCAAAGACCACTGCTAAGGTCATAAGCACTGCTTCTTTGCAGCCTCCGTTATCAGCCCTCTCTGCACTCTACACCTTTTCTAAGGCAGCAGTAGTTGCACCCAGAACCTACTTTCTACTGTTAACTGGCATGGGTTAGAATTCCAGACCTTTCTGCTAGGTTCGCTTTGTTTTATTGAACTGCACGCAGCAAAAGCTAGCCAGCCATTCATTCATCTTTTCAGAAAAAACACGGGTCCTTGAAACCTTGATCTTTTTTCTAGACATCTCCCAAGAAATATTACAAATGGAACCTGGAACTAGAAATACAGCACAAAAATGGTGCCATAGTGACCCAGATGATAAAATAACTGTACCAATGAAAATAATATCCAGTATTATTGAGCCTTTTCCAGGGACAAGTATTGTGCTGGCCATTGCCTGAGTTCAATTGTTTATTTTATACAGGTCCATAGATAAGAAAATTGTAGCAGATGCAGGTGACATTACTGTCCCTAGTGAACAGCTAGTAAATAGTAGAGCCAAGTTTCAGACCCACGTAGTAGACTGACTCCAAAACACACATTCCGACCATACCAGAGTTCTAGAGCTCACATTTACCCACACCCACAACCAGCATCCTAACTGGTGATGGGTAAACCAGGCTCCATTTCATCTCTTACATATTTGTCATCAAAGGTAAGACATAAAATCAAGAGTCCCAGTTTCTGTGGCTCTCAGAAGGTAGGAGAGGGGCTCTGGACCTCAGGGAGAGCTCACATTAAATGTAGATAGATGGATGACGTTGTCTGTGTAAATGGATGACGAGTCTGTGCTTGTGAGTTGAGCTATTGGTAAAACTGTTTCTAAGTTCCCAAGTAAACCCAAAGCATGTATGCCTGCTCACAGGCAGAGCCTTGAATGTCTGAGTCACATGTGACCCCATGTCCCATCTTGAATCAAAGCCTTGCACTGCTCACTCCATGCACTTCTAGAAAGTGTTCCTTCACCATTGGTTTACTGCATTTTCCCTGCATTTTGATGATTCTACCTTGTTTGAAAAGGCTCCAGGGAGAAGGGAAGGAGCTGTAACTAAACACACAGGTGCTATAATATACTTTATGAAAAAAAATGCATCAGGTGAGTTTCCTTCAGGTTTCAGTTATAGAAATATTGGGTATGAGTTTGGTGACAATGTCAACAATACATTACAGATCCACAAGAAGAGGCTTGTCTACATGTAAGTGAGGCTATTCTGCAAAGATCTTATATGGCACCTATAATGTCTGATGAAGCTACAGGAAGAAGAGAAAGAAGTTAAATCTATAAGTTTGTGAAGTGAGATAGAATATTTTAAAAAAACATGTAGTAAACAATATGTCTGTGAAAATGAAGCCAGAGAAATCTACATTTATGTTCCTTGGGGTCATGAAAACCTTAAGACATTTTTAAGGCACCAGTGCAAAGTGATCTGCTTCTTTTAAATAGCACAATGCTCCACAGTCAGCAGAAAATCCCACAAGCGGGCTTCTATGTCAAGTTACAGCCAAAATGTTATATATTAGATGTCATGAAGCAGCAAGTGAGCGAGCTAAAAAGATGGTTTAGAGGTTAAGAGCAAGTATCCCTGTTGCAAGTGACCTGAGTTTGGTTCCTAACATCAATGTTGTGTGGCTCACAACCACCTGTAACTCCAGCTCCAGGAGATCCAAGGCCTCTTCTGGCCTCACGTGCACTGAAGTGCACATGCCCACACATAGACATATGTGCATAATTAAAATTAAAATACATCTTTTAAAACGTATCAATGAATGTTATGTTTCCAGTTGGATCCCATCTCTATGGAACTTTATTATGTACATACAAATATTTCAGATTGTACCACTTTCTCCTCACCTTGCCAGTGATACCCACATGCCAGAGTTCTAACCCTTCACAGAAACTTAGTCCTTTAGAGGGGCTCGAACTGCTGTGGCCACTGTCCATGCTCATGTAGTTGGACAGGGTGGGCTTCACCATCACACAGACAGCAAAAGAGACACGCGTGTTCTGTGGAGCTAGTAACCACCTGTTCCCTCATTGCCCAGAGCTACCCCTTCCTGACTACTGTGATTGACGGAGTGCTGCTGCCAAAGGCACCTGAAGAGATCCTGGCTGAGAAGAGTTTCAACACGGTCCCCTACATCGTGGGCATCAACAAGCAAGAGTTTGGCTGGTACATCCCGACGGTGAGAAAATAATGATCTCATAAACTTAACCCCAGAACCCATCATCACCTGTGCCCAGGACTTCTTCCTGTTTGGAACCTCTCTTTGAATCCAGGGAAGCTGTTCCCATTGTCACAAGTAGGCATTTCCATGGAAACAGTCTCTGAGATACTCCAAGTGTGCCGTGAAGTGCAGCCCTAGGAGCTCTTCTCTCCACAAACCTTGCCTTTTTCTAAAGAATTCTGACAAGCTCCCAGTGAGAGATCTGTAGTGATGGCTGAACAGACTGCTCTTGACCTTAGCCCAAAGGCCAAGAAGTGATGGAAATTGTTCAGATGGCATAGTAAGGACACCCAGAAAGGAGAGGGAGCAGGAGTTCATGCCTCAGGCTGGGGTGGCATGGCTTCCACCTTGGAGTTGGACTTGTAGTCCCATAGATTTCTGCAAGCACACTTTCATTGCAAAGACCAAAGAAGATTAGTTCTGCTTAAGTGAAAAACTGGCATACAAAAGGAAAATGGGATTTTTCTTGTGCTAAAAAATAAAACAATGAAAAAAATACACAGTCAAGTAGAATATTATGGTTTAGTTAGTAGTGTGACTTCATTAGGGAAGAGATTGAGTACAAGATTAACTCGATCCCTGGCAACAATAGTGGGAGAGATTTCAATGCTGTAATGTCCTCAAAGAGCCACTGTGATAGGAGGGATGAGCCTGTGCCTCCAGATACAAAACTGTTGGTCCACACACATCTGCAAGGGAAACATCCTTCTCTTCATAGGAAGATTCAGAGTCCTAAGTTAACGTTATCAAAGCTAGGGATTTTTCCTTCCATAAAAGCTAGAACAGCTGGGTACGGGCACACACCTGTAATCCCAGCACAAGGGGAGGCAGAGGCAGGTGCATCTTTATGAGTTTGAGGCCAGCCTGGTCTACAAAGCAAGTACAGGACAACCAAGACTGCACAGAGAAACCCTGTCTCAAAAAAAAAAAATGCTAGGAGAACAAAATCAATCTCTCCATTTTTTTTTTTTACATCAAAGAAACTTTAAAAATTACAGGGAGAAAATTGTTCTCTGTTCCTTGAGGAAACTGTTTTTGTTGAGACATTAAAATCTCAAGGAGCATCATAAAGATTGGTAACTGCAAACTTTGACAGTAGCTGCTTTAATAGAGGCCAGGAGCAGTCTGTTCCACCCCAGTTTATTTTCTGATAGCACTGAGCTTCCCGAGTAAGCATGGCAGGAGGTAGGTCATGCTTCTACAACCATACCAGTGCTGGGTTCCACAACCACACCGATGCTGGGTTGTCTCTGACTGCAGAGGTTTGCACACATCAGCACATGAGAAGAGTTCTACAGCTCTCAATACAGACAGATTTCAGAGATTATCAAATGACACAGCCATAGTGGTTGCTTGTGGATTCCTCAGTCACGTGACTGTGATTTGATGGCGGGATGTCATGTCCCCTCTATTCCTGAGTTTTGGGCTTCTAAGTACCTGATCTTAATTTTTTCCTCACTGCCTAAAGGATCTTGAGTGTATTCCAGCTTGATAAAAACAAACATACACCCATACAGACACATACTTACAAATGCACACACAATTACACACACATTCACACATTACACACACATGTATACATACACACACACACAATCAGCTTCTGCTAACCATGTTTTAATCTCTTTTGCATTCTTTCAGTCTCTGAATAAATCCATCAAGTTAACTACTATTGTCTAATTCATCAGAAGCCATGCATCTTCATTCCGCAGCAGTTTGGTTGACTGGTTAGCCTGTTTGAACATTCCCGTTAATTCCCAACAATTTACAGGTGACTAACCAACCATTATTTAACAGATGATGGGCTACCCCCTCTCTGAAGGCAAACTGGACCAAAAGACAGCCACATCCCTCCTGTGGAAGTCCTATCCACTTGCTGTAAGTACCAATGGAATCATGGGGGAAAATTGAGATTCAAGGAAGGGCTGGAGGCTTGCCCTGAGTCACAGGTCAACTGAATGGTAGAGAAAAAGTCAACTAGAATATGGAGTTCCCTCCCAAGGGTCAGGATTAACACAGCACTGGAGATGCCCATAGTCAATTGAAGTCTTCTCAACTGGCTGGAGAAAAATACTCATTGATCATTGGATGGTGATGGGCTCTTTTTTTGATTGATTTCAGAACATCTCTAAGGAACTGACTCCAGTGGCCACTGAGAAGTATTTGGGAGGATCCGACTGCCCTAACAAAAAGAAAGACCTCTTTTTAGACATGATGGGAGATGTGTTATTTGCTGTGCCGTCTGTGATTGTGGCCCGCTATCACAGAGGTGAGACCTGGGGGCTGGACCAAAGAGGGACACTGACTCCCAATACAGTCAAATGGGAAAACTGCTGAGGGTTAGGACTCAGAGGCTCATTTCCTATAGCCTAGAGGCGATATGGGGTATGTTCTACATTGTTTCTCTTTTACATAAATCTCTAAGACAGGGCACAAATGCAAGCAGTAAATTTGGGAGTTACTCTCACCAAACACTTGTTGGGAGACAGGGATATGATACTGGAAAGAGACCAATCAGAGATCCACTGTCAAGCATTTGCCTACTATGGATGGATGGAGCTGTAGAGTTCTTAGAGCCATGCAAAGGACACATCTCAGGGTTGTCCCTTCCGAGTAGCAAAGGAACTACCTATACCCATCAGCACACACTTGCCACTGGTTGAAAGCTATTTCAGTGAGTTAGTGCTTTGATAACTCTACCTGTTGCACACTCAGGCAAAGTAATCTGCAGCAATAAGCAAAGCCTCAGCTAAAGAGCTACAGCGGCTGGAGCTGACCTGCCTGTTAAAAGGCAGTGTGTGTGAGCCCCAGCAGCAGCCACTAGGAGCTCCTTATCTGGACTTATGCTGGTGTATAGAGAGATGGAGTGTAACAAACACTTGGAAAGTTTGGCAGCCTCTATCAGGGGACTGAACCAGTAGGAGATAGATAATTGATAGAGAGGCAGACAGGTATACAGGCCAGCAGACAGATAGACGGACAGACAGACAGATGAGAGGGGATATATTGGAGGAATTGGCCTGTGGGATTATTAAGGGCAGAAAATTGGGTCAGAACAGATCTGGAGACCCTGAGGTTTTGGTAAACTGACCAAAAGGTTGAAAGCCTCAGGGCCAAAAAAGCCAATGATGTGTTTTGTTTTGGTTTTTTTTTTTTTTTCAGTCTAATTGAGGAAGCCAGAGGCCCTTGAAAACCCCTGGTATAAGTCTCAAAGTTCAAATGTGAATATCCTGGAATGCTGGACAGGAGTTCAAGGGCAGGAAAAGAAACTCTGGGAGAGACGACACCATCTTTTCTCTGTTTTCTTCCCTATCATGAAGTTAGATGACACCCTTTCACACTGAGGGTAGACCTTCCCTTATTAATGTACAATTCATATTCCAGTCTCCCCTGAAAAGACCCTGTTCCTTAAAACCATAATACTTTATGGTTTTCTAGCATTCCTCAATCCACTCAAACTGAAACCTAAAAGTAACTTTCAGAGGATCTGTTCAGGGTCAGAGGCTGCTGTAAGGTAGCGTGTTCACAGCAGTGGGGCTGGAGGAAGAGCAGAACGATCCTCGTAGTATTGAAGACTGCCCAGGACCCAAAGCTCTGAGCCAGAAGGTGCTAGGACATAGGGGAGGGGTTCTGGAGACGCTTGCCGTCTGCACCTGACCTTTATCTAACTCAGTCCATACGAAGTACTTTGCCGGCTCCTCTAGGATGTCCCAGTGTTGTCCCACAGCCGTGCTGAGAACGGATGAGCACACCTGTGTGATGTCCTCTCCCAGGTGAGCCTGTCACCAGCTCCCTTCGTTTCAGCTGGCATTTTAGGATTCTGAGTTCAGTTATTTCAGCCAGCATGCACAGGCTTTATCTATTTTTTTATATTGTCTTACCCTTGTTGATAAAAATAACTTTTCTAATTATAAAATCAACCTGTTTACCCTTCTAGCAACATTTTAAAATATACTAACATGTAAGAAGGCACCAGATACCATTCAAAATTCTTCAGCCGGGAGTCGTCTACTATAACTTTTTTCTTGTATTGTTTAATAGCTGTTCTACCTCTGATATAATTTAAAAATTAATTTTGTGTAACAGTTTTCTTCAGAGAACACAATGTAATGGGAATTTCTATAATTCCAACAAAAAAAATCTATCAAAAACAAAAATCTACCAAAAGTGCTCATGAATGGGTACATGAGGTCTACTCTCTCTGGCCTGTTGGGTATTCAAGGCTTACATTTCAATAACACAGATAATGTTGTGCTGAATCCTAGATGCATGAATGTTTAGCCAAATGTCTACTCACTTTTTGATTGGTTTTAAAAAAGAAGTTACTATTCTCCATGAAAGGAACACTTTAGAGCTCTTAACGTGTGGTGAAATTGTTTTCCAATATGTAAGAATGTGGGTTTCTTACCTCTAATTACTACATGGAAACTAAGTAAAAATAATAAACTATAAAAGGAATCCATATGCTTTTCCCTCCCAAAAAATTTTAAGGCCACCAGTACAGCTTACTACCTTGATCTCTCTTCTTTCCTCTCCTTTATGCCACAGCCATGGCTAGTGAAAACTGGTGAAAGCCATGAAGCCAGCACAGCTGTTTGACAAAAGTCAGCAAAGCTGAGCTGAATGTTGTTTTTGCCATCATTCTGTCTTTCACTTTGGGTTTCTGATCTCTATGTGTTGCATTTGTGGGGGGATTTTTACAGTATGCTTCATTTATATCTTTTCCTCCAGGAAATTACTTCTGCTCTCAAAGAAGTAAGCTTATCTGGCCGTTCTCAGCAATCTTCCTTGTCATGGAGATAATGAAAAGCACAAAAAAGTTAGATAGCCCCAGAGTTCTCTTGGCACAGTTGCCCCGTAAGCAAACTCAGAAACAGTAGATTTGACAACAGATCAGATTACAGGCTTCCCCTTTTATGTAGTCTACAGGACATTTCCATAAGAAAATAAAAGTGTGACAACAAATTTAGCTTGCCTAAAATAACATTTGATAAAATATATATATCATATATAAAATTAATATTAGAATTTGCCATGAATGAGAAGATTATCTCATATTAAGTTTACAGTGAGCTCTTTAAACTAAAAAAAAAAAACAAAGAGAAAACAAGTAGCCTGAAGCCTGGGAGAGCTTTCAAATTTTTAAGATAGGCTAACTCTGTGTATGTGTATGCATGTCTATATGTGTTTGCGTGCATGTGTCTGTGCATGTGTCTCTATGTGTACTTGTGTGTGCGTATGTATATGTGTGTGTATGTGTGTTTGCATGTGTACAAGTGTGTGTGTGTTATGTGTGTTATGTCTCTGTGAGTATGTGCATGTGTGTATGTGTGTGTGTGTGTGTACATCTGTGTGTGCGTCTGTGTATGAATCTGAGTATGTTCATGTGTATGTTTGTATGTGTGTGTACATGTGTATGTATGTGTGTATCTATATGTGTGGGTGTTTGTATGTGTGTCTGTCTATGTCTGTATTTCTGCCTCTTAAATGGCCCCTGATTGTCAGTCAAGTATCTATGCCCTGCTTCCCATTGATGACTTGCATTGTAATTGCACACAGTTTACGGATCTCATCTCAGCGGTCTTAGGCAAGAGCCTTAAAACCGTCACACTAACTAAAGGAAATGTGCTCTTCCACAGGTTGTGGCTCGGTTTCTTCCACACTCATTTCAGCCTCAGAGGCTAGGTCACTCTTCTTTCAGAAAATTGTGCATGACCTTAAAGTGACTGCTCAATAGATCGCAGGGCCACACAGGAATATTTGCTCAAAGCAACAATTCATGCTAAACCATGGGACAATGGTGGGGGCTGAGAAGGTAGTTTAGTAAACCACTCTATGTTTTCATGCTGCAGTGACATGATTGTCTACTGTTTTATGCATGAACAAATAGTAATATGAAAACTGATTTCAGAATGTTACAGGATGTCTCTTAGATAATATTATTCCAGCTTTATATAGAGAAGGATATGTGCTAAAACATCAAGCGATAGTCTCAGAGGTGAAATTATGAGAAATTTTTCTTCTTTTCTATATTTTTTAAGATTCTTACTGAAAACAAGCAGGAAAAGGAGTCCGATTTTCCCACCATCCTGATTGGGATCCTAACTCTGCTCTCAGGTTCACTCCTCTGTCAGTATCTGTGCCCACTATGGCCACTGGCGCTGAGGCCCCTGGGTTGCGTGGGTTACTATATAAGCAGAAGTAGTCAGCTGACCCAATGATTGATTTAGCAAGAACAATGCTGCTACACGGCTTAGACGTGACGTCTTTGGTGGTGAGAGAAGAAGGCAAAGGAGAGGAGAAGAGAAGCAAACTCACCTTCCCTTCATGCCTGAAGGCCTTAACATTCCCAGCCAAGCAAGACTCATATACAAATCCAAGTTCTGTGATTTCATGAAGCCTGAGAGATAGACAAACTGCTTGCTCTCTTCATAGACTTGCATTTATATGTCCTTGTGTCCAGGCAGGCGGCTTGGATTTATATCATTCTTTTCTGGATGATTGAGAAAAACACTGGGGATGATCAAAACCAGCCTGACAGAAGATGCCTTCTAAGTTCAGATCTGTCATCCCTGGAGTACATCCTGGCACATATTGCCTGCACTGTATTCACTCCTGTATTCAGTTAAAAAAAAAAAAAAAAGCTTGTTCAAATCCCAGCTCTATCTCAATGCAGTCCCAAGCAAGTTCCCAGGATACCCTAAAGCCTCTGTTTCCTTCCTACCCGTAGATTTGGGGAGAAGGGTATCTGTACAGGTATATACCTTTATACCAATGACATGTGTCTGGTAATATGCACTCTACTTGAATCCATGTCTTCCCAGATGCTGGAGCCCCCACCTACATGTATGAATTTAAGTACCGCCCAAGCTTTGTGTCTGACATAAGACCCAAGATGGTGATAGCAGACCATGGTGATGAAGTTTATTCCGTTTGGGGGACACCACTTTTAAAAGGTAATGGCCTGAACTTCAAGTTGTGAGCCTCAGGTTCCAGTCCTGATTTGGTGGCCTTAAGCAAGTGTCTCTTTTTTTTCAGTCCTAGTTTCCTAACAGGACCATGTTAGTTACTACATTCATTTCTGTGCCAAAATACCTGCCCAAGGCAACTTTTGGAGAAGGGGTTTATTCTCACTCATAGTTTCAAAGGGCCACAGTCCACCAAGGTGAGGAAAGCATGGTGGTAAGGGCCATTAAGTTGGCTCGTCACTGTATTAGCAGTTGGAAATCAGAGAAAGATTAGAAAGCATATTCAGGCTGTAAACCTCAAGGCTCACCCCCAGTGACCTACTCCCTACACACCTCTGCCTCCTAAAAGTCCCACAGCCTTCCCAAACAGTGCCACCATCCAGAGATTCTCTTCATCCAACAGGCATAAAGGAAGCTGTACCCCTAGACAAAGTAGCCAGCCCCATGACCCTAACCTATGATGTCACTTAAGACAAGGGGCATGCCATCTGCAGGGCTGTACCTTCGGAAGGAACACCACTGTTTGATTTTCTAATCACAGGAGCCTACACAAAGTGAGAGAAGAGAGAATCAGTGCTGGTGTTAAGCTTGGGTAGGCTCTAATGTGTCTCTTTCCGTATCTCTGCCTGTGCATCAAAATATCAAAATTTTAAAAATTTTAATAATATAATACTTTAAAAAAAACACAGATATCTTCAGCATCTTGACTCTCAGCAAGTGTAGGTGACCTGTGATTCATATACTGGCTATTCATAGCACACCAGGATCTCTGGTGTTCCCTTAAAATAGTAATAGTTCTGGTATATTTCAGAATTTATAAAAATGAAAGAGAGGATCCAGAGTCAGCAACCTATGAGCCAAAGAAAACTCTGGGGTTTGGCAGTATAGCCTTGAGTAGGGAGGGAAGAGCAGGTGACCATGAGAAGCAAAGGCAGCCAGCTTGTGGACAGACTACTTGCCAGTTTGTGAGTCCTACATTAGTCATTTCCAAGCTGAAATAGAATGCTCAGCCTAACTTGTCTATGAATGCAGATTCCTATTCCGCAAGTGTATGGTAAGAGTGAAGACTGCCTTTCGTCACACTCGCAAATGATGCTAACACTGCCCATGAGCCACACTGTGATCAGGAAAGGACTCTTGTGTTCTTCCCCGCAGAGGGTGCCTCAGAAGAAGAGACGAACCTCAGCAAGATGATGATGAAGTTTTGGGGCAATTTTGCTCAAAATGGGTGAGGCTGGTGAAAATATGGAGCGGGTTTGGTGGATAATATCCTTGGGAGACTCCTGATGGGAAATGGGGGTACTTTCTAAAGTCTGAGTGAGCATAGTGTTCTGACAATGAGAACTCTCAAAAATGGGTAGGCTGTGCCCCGCCCCGAGAAGATGAGTAGCTGTCTCTGGGGCTGCATGACCTCATGGCAATAATAGACCAAGGGATTCCTCTGAGAAACATGAGGCCCACAGAGCAGCTTTAGGGACCTCTGATTGATTCTGTTCTCAGGAACCCCAATGGGGAGGGGCTGCCACACTGGCCAGAGTATGATGAGAAGGAAAGTTACCTTCAGATCGGAGCCACTACCCAGCAAGCCCAGAAGCTCAAAGACACGAAAGCAACTTTCTGGACCCACCTCCGGGCTATGGAGATGGAGAAAGCAACCAAGGGAGATACTGAGAAATGACATAGAAGGCAGCACAGCCATGGAAGCCTTTAGGAGCCAGGGCAACACTGTTCCTCTGAAGGTGTTTGTAGCCCAAAGAGCTTTCTCATCACAGAGGCTGAAGAACTGTGCATTGGGAGTGGGCAGAAACCAGAAAAGAGAAATGTTTGCAGCTATGGTTTCAATTTGTAAAATAAATGAAAAAAAATTTTGAGGGGAACCAAATCATTGGCTGTGTCTTGAACTAAAAATGAGTCTATCCTCCCCAGAGAGAGGAAGGTGAAGAGAGGTGACCATCAGCAGAGAAATTATAGGTCTTGGTCTATATACATGCTGAATCCCAGCATGCTTGGGACATATCCAACACTGAACAATGGAACATGGGAGGTGGGATGCTGGGGCACTCCAGAATGACAATGTACATGTAAATGCTAGGGGAAGGTCCTCTCATCTTGATCCATGTTTCCAATAATAATAATAGTAATAATAATAATTCAGACATGATACAGGAGTAACTCAAGTAGTCACGAGTTTACTTACAACACACAGAGAAACAAAAACATACTCTTTAGGAAAAGCATGAGCTGAGTTGAACAGCAATGGTCCCAATCCCAGCAGACACAGGGCTTATATCTCTCTGCCCATTTCCCCTCACTCCTGCCTCCTCCAGGGTGGGCACTTCCAGGAAGGTGGTGTTTTCTTCTTAAAAGGTTATTTTACCAGAACTCAGACTGTTATGTGTAAATACACAATATAGAAGAATATGTATAGAGACTCAAAATTCACTAAGGTAGGGTTAGGTACCAGCACTCAGCCCGTGGTGTCCTAGTGAGGAAGACCCCTTAAGGAAGAAAAATCCTTCAACCAGCTCATAGAGAGCAGCATACCAACTCTATTACTCTCAGGGTAAAATAGGAAACTGTCCTAGGTCAAGGTCATTAGAGAGATTTCAATGATCCCCGAGAGGGTCCCATCCCCGAGGACCTACTAAGGTTGAAGTTGGACCAGACGATAAAAACTGAAGTTACCCCTAAGTGAGCAGACGCTGCAAAAGGCAGATGTGCAGGGCAGCCTGAGGTTGAAGGTGAAACAGTGCATTAAGAAAACACTTCAGAAACTAGCCCTCACACAAGCACACTAGAACATGCAGACAGAGCATGGGATAATGCTAGAAAGTATGACTTGCCATGCATTTCGGATACCCAAGACAATACGAATTGAGTCCACAGGCATACAGACAGTCAGCTGTGCCAAGGGGTGGGGGATGGGGATGGGGTGGTCTCTGCAAACCAGGGCCTGCAGAATAACAATCTGCAACAAGAAGGAAATCCAGTTCAACACGACTTAGTAGCTAGTGTTGGTTCAAACTTCTAGAGTCTGACCCTGGGCTGATTATTTTAAGCATATTTAAGTACAGCACAATTCGGGACAAAGTTTCCAGGTGTAACACAACCCTGCATGCACAAAGAGGCATAATTACATGGAAACTCTTCCCAAAGTACACGTCACTTCTTTCATAAAGACGGTTTCTGTAGATAGGCTACACGTGTTATCTTAAGGGCCTAGAGGAGGATCCACTGTGGTCTCAGTCATACAGATAGCATAGAGGTTGCCTATTAACCACCTCTGGCCCTGTCTGGGGAAGCCTGGGGGAGCCCTTAGCCATACAGATAGCTCAAAGGTCACCTAGGCTGTTAACCATCTCTGGTCCTGTTTGTGGGAGCCTGGAGGAGCCAGAGGTAGCCTGGCCCTGTGGATATCTCAGAGGTCATCTAGACTACTAACCACCTCCAGTCCTGCTTTTTGAGAGCTTGGGGAAAGCCAGGTATGGTACAGAAAGAGCAGGGGTTACCTAGGCTACTAGCCACCTTGGTTCTTAGCCTTCTCAGTGAAGAACAGCTTGTTCATCTTTTCCTTTAAAAAGACAGCCCTGTGGGTTTGACGTTCCTGCTTTCCCTAGTGCTGCCTGTGAGTGCAAGGACCTCTGTGTTCCCAGGAAGAAGGCACATCTGTTTCTGTTCATCCAGTTTGATCCCATTCCCACACTCATAACGCAAAATGTTTAATGCAACACTGAGAACCCACAAAATCAAGAGAGCAGCATTAACAAGAGAATAATTAAGCATCATAGGCAAATGCAGACTGAACCCCGGCACCGTCAGAACTAACACGTGCGGTGGGAAGGTTCAGGGCATCATATGGAAAGCCTACATAGACAGGTGATACTGAAAGCAGCCCAAGGAAGGGCCATAAATGCAGAGTACCAAAGAAGGAATTGTGGAAGTTTCCCCCTTTTAATTTAGTTTAAAGTTTCATACATCAATCAAGTGTTTGCATCAGGTCCACTCCATTCTTGTCCCCCTTCTTAGCTAGTGATTGATGGAGGAGGGCCCACCCCAATGGGGGTGGTGTCATCCCTGGGCTGAATTCTGTAAGAAATTCTATGGCTGAACATGCCATAAAGAGCAAGTCAGTAAGCAGCACTCCTCTATGGCTACCTTGAACTTCAGCTCCTGCCTCCAGGTCCCTTACTGTCCTGACTTCCTTTGGTGATGAACTGTGCTGTGGAATCATAAGTAAAATAAACATTTCCTCCCCAACTTGCTTTTGGTCATGGGGCTTCATCACAGCAACAGTAGCCCTAACTAAGATACCATGAATGTGGATTTTAATATTTATATTTATATGGATAGCCTAAAACCTACTGAACTCATTTAGTGTTAGATAGCCTTCCAAGAGTCTTTTCCCTGCAGAAAACTGATTTTCTCTCTCATCAGTCATTGACCACCTGCAGCTTTTCATGAAGGGGTAGGACCTTGTGAGATTTCCCTCACCCACCTTGGCAAGTCACCTGGCATTCTCACTATGCAAGTCTTGTTTAGATGGCCATACTGTAAGATTTCACGAATTCAGCTTCCCTGCTGTGTCTAGAATAGACTGTCTAAGCAGAAAGTATCCTGGTCCTTTCACTCCTACAGTCTTTTGGCCTCCCTTCTGTGATGCTACCTGAGCCTACTCTAGGTTCAGCATTGTACAGTTGTGCCTGGGTACCTCACAGTCAGTTAACCTCCATTTTGACTATTTGTAGATCTCTGTAAAAATTAAAAATTAAAAAAAAAGGCTTTTTGAGGAGGGTGAGAGCTTTACTTACCTGTGGATATAAGGATGCGTATGTGGGATACAGTTAGGAATCACATTGGTTTGAGAAAATGGCAGCAGTGGGTTCTTGTCGAGGGCCTATGACCTCTCCACCCACTGGAAATTGGCTAGATTTGCAGAACCAGACATGAATCCCCTCCTATGGAGTGGGCCAGTTGCTTCGGACACAGTTGCAGTCTGTTGCTTCTTCCCGGACATAAGCAGAGCTTTTGCACTTTGGGGAATCTCTCTCTGGACCAATTATTGTTGTGGTTCATAAGCTTCACAGCTGGGTAAGACTATTGATTGTTTGTCTCCCTCGGTAGCTTGCACAGCTCCTTCAGATATTCTGAGAATTAGGGAGATACTAGGGAAGAGGCTTTGGGGTCAGATCCAGTTCAATACTCTGACATCTTATGTCTAAAATGTGTAGTGTCCTTACCAATAGGGCCTTATTTTCAACTTCTGGGAAGCAAACAAGGGCAATGGCAATTGCTTGTATTGTTCTAGGAATCTCTTGAAACACCCTTCCGAGACTAACATCCAGAAGGAAGGTTCCCCACGCTCTGCCACCGGGATTTTTAGATAGTCTATAGCTTTGGAGAAGAGCAGTTTCACCCTGTGTGTTGTAATGGCATTTAATGTGTATATAATATATGTGTGTGTTCTTAAGTAAGCTTATAAAATAATGGTTCTCGGTGGTCTTTTTAAGCATCTTACAGCTATTTATCTCTTCTTCCTCCTCCTCCTCTTTTTGTCTTACTTCCTCCCCCGATCCTCCTCCCCTTTGCTGATTTTCCTGGCTTTTGTAGTTACTCCAGGTTACTCCAGCTTATATATTCGCAACTAAAGATTTGGACATAAGACCTAAAGATAAGAGAGAACATGTGACATTTGTCTTTTTGACTCTGGGTTACTTCACCCAGTATTTTCCAGTCCCAACCATTATCCTGAAACTTTCGTTATTCTTTCTGTTGAATTGTACTCCATTGTATCTCTGTACCACATTTTCATTATCCACTCATCAGTTGAAGGACATCTAGGTTGTTTCCATTTCCTGGCTACTGTGAAAAGGGCAGCCACAGTCATGGCTGAGCATGTGTCTGTGGCAAAGGATGCTGAGTCCTTCAGATACATGCCAAGGACTGGGGTAGCTATAGCTATGTCATTAGGTAGACCTAGTTTAGCTTTTTGAGAAGTCTCCACATTGACTTCCGCAGTGGCTGTTCCACTCTGCATTCACCCACAAGCAGTGAATGAGGGACCCTACTTCCCCACCTACTCGCTGGCATCCATTGTCAGTTGCTTTCCTGTTCAGATTCATGGCCCTTTAAAAAAAAAAAAGAAAAGAAAAGATAGTATGCTTTCTTAATTCTGTGTTATTTTGAGTTCTTTGTATATTCTAGGTATTAGTCGGTCATCTACAGGATGTGTGGTTGGCAAAGAGTCTTGCTTATTCTGTGCACTTCCTTTTCACCAGATTGTTCTTTGCTATACAAACACCTTTTGGTTTTACGACGTCCCATTTGTCAGTTTTTGGCATTAGTTCCTAAGTGAGAGGAATCCTATTCAAAAAGTCCTTGATATATATCATGGAGGACACTTAAGGCAGATTTCTTACTGGAAACTACTGTGAGTAAAAGTCCCCAGAGAGAACCACAACTTACAATGAACCTCCTACAATGCTGATTAACTGACTAAAACTTCAGTGATGTGGGGAGGTTGGAATGTTCCAAGTCCAGAGCCACGTTATCTTAGGCCAATCTTTAGACTCCTTTGATTTATTTATGAGCCTCTCTTTGTGGCGTAACGTCTTTTGTGGCCACTGGGTAAATTTGTTAGAATACAGCAACAGAACCCTAGTGTCTACCAGCTGTATCTGAGGCCGGTAGCCGAGATCTTCCGACTATGCTGTAACTTACTGCTGTTTTTAAACTGTCTTGACATAAGAACTCACAGAAACTGCGGCAGCATGCACAAACCCCACACAACTTCAAGCCAGACAAAACCCCAGCACAGAGAAGGGGAAATGGGTACAAAGTCCCACTACTAGCCAAGAAGCTATTTGAAGTTA